ACAAAACGCATGCGTGACGTCTAAGCAACTAAAGTTGTCCATCTTGAGCTAATGAGGGAGGGGAGACGACCGCATAACAGTTTAAAGTTCATCCATTAAGTACACCAATCCAAGAGGAAAACATTCTCAGTCTGGAACCAACAGCTCTGCTGGGACTTCTTTCGTATACCCCATCAAAGGCGCATATGAGACCGGGTCTGGTGCCCCTCACAGATTGTGTGCGTTATTGGACACTGTCGGAGTTAGCCACAGCCACATCAGCTAACCCCCTAAACTGCTTTTTGGTAAGTATGTTGCGTCACACACTTCTCCAGAATCAATAGCCTAGGGTTTGACGAGATTCAACATTGATACTGACGTTGATAGTTTAACTGGACTTGCTAAGCTGAAGGCACCTGGTTAGGCATCCTCACCATTTGGCACGCTTCCGTATCATGTTGCACCGCTAGTAATCGACCGTCTAGCCAATTAGTTGGAGCTCATCGGTATCTTAGCATGACCTCGCAAATATACTATTCCATCCGAGTACGCTGTTGTATTCTTTCTCTGTCTCGTATTCGTGGGTATATAAAAAGTTCAGTCAATTAGTGATTGGTTTATTAAGTTCACGCCAGGACAATTCCTAAAAGTGCGTGAGCGCAAAAGGCTTGCTACCAACATTCACCGGCAGCAATTGTAGATAAAGCCACCAATCCATGTAATGACCAACCCTGGTGTTTGCAACAAGATGCCCAACTTCATCATGGCACTCACTTTCCATAAGCTATTTTCTCTCCCCTTTTCTGGCTCCCTACTTGTCTTACTACTCACGTTACATTTTAAGCAACGCTTAATACTCACTTACAGGCATATACGAAAAAGAATACATCTTATGGGCAATACCTCCCTCCAAAGCTATAAGAACGTAAGGAATACAGCCAAGAAGGATCGGAACCTCAGCATCTGGAAGTGAGGCTGAAAAACTACAAGTCTTTTACTCGCATTATTTTTGTTGAATGTTGTGATAACGTATTGAAATTGTACATAACAACTCCTTGTCCACTATTTTGAAACTGACATCAAATGATTCGAAAATGGTAGACATTGATGAGAGGATTGTCGAAGAATACAAATGTCGACCCCCACCAAATCACCTGTTGAACAGAGGTGAGTTTGACCTGAAATTATTTCGAAAACCTTTTCCAGAGATCTTTTGGAAGATCGGTTGTAATAAATTCATTGCAGTGGAGCCAGCTGAAATTTATTTCGATAAAAACTCTTTTAGCTCGAAAAAATGTAGCAGCGTCCAGCTATTTCGGTTGAAAAACATATCTGGCCGTGTAACTCGACTGCACATTTTGCCACCAGACACCAAACACTTTAAGGTGACTTATAAATTCCCAGTAAGTTTTCTCGGTAAGCTTCTGGAGTGGTGAACTGTGGCCAAATCTTTTCATAATATGTTTTTTTAAAACTCAAATAAATATACAGGTAGGCTTCATCCGCTTCCTTATGAGTGAAAACTGAGAACAGACAGATAATGCATTCTCTGGGTAACTTGAATGCTTTTTTGATATTCTCTTTTAAATTGTACTTCGAGGAATTTTAAAGTTGCATGAAAAGTATGTGCTAAGTAATTAGTTGCAAGGGAACTGAAAAGGCAGGCAGATGTAAACAGTGGATGCAAAAACTCACCCACAAGTGTGCGTACATCATCGTCATCTTTAATTTCTCACCAAGTGTTTTTACCATCAGTATACAAAATCATGAGGGATTTCGTGATGCTTGGTTATTTATTTGTGCATTGGATAAGTAGCAAAGGATCCAAGAGCGTTCTTGCTACAATCTGTAGTGGACCCAAAGAATGTCAAGTAAACCAAAATGACAAACTACGTATAATTTACAAGAAAAAGGGATTTTATGATACACGTGTGTGAAAAGTTATACGTTATAGCACAAAATAGTATTGTCAGTGTTACAGATAATCACGGGTTACTTGAAGGTTATTTCTTCGGTATAGTCCACCACAATTTTGGGATACTCCAGAGATCAGAAGGCGATATTTGTTGTCTCTGCGCTGTGGTCGTCGATCGGCTTGATTGTCGTAATATTTGGAAGTAGGATGAGAAATCTTGTAAATTCCCAAGACAATCAGTTATTATGCACGACAGGTAATAGTCACGGAGGCAGAAGTCGGGATGATTAGAAGCACGTTATATTTCCACGATTAGCAGCAGCAAAAGATGCGATTACCGCAACAACCAAAAAAGTGTGTATATAAACAACATTCGTTTTTACAAGTATTAGGAATAATGTGCAGAATGTGTAAAAGAAACGATGAAAAGGAAATATTGCTTATAGTTGAAGTAGTTTATACACAATTCTATGCAGTCTCCACAAATTCATTGTGTTTCGAATTTCAAGAAGAGAGCTGAGAACTAATCCTTGCTATTTGTCTCCTACCAACAAGGAACTCTGTGATACATGAAAGTGGATTGCGAGTAATTCAAAAGGTTCCCATTATCGAGGGGAAACCTGGGTGGGCAAAGTGTGCTTCTCAAATATCTAATTGAAGCTTATGAAGACAACACCTATGGGCTTCTTATCATCAGTAGACTTAAAACAGCTTCTCGCTTAACTTATTTAGGATTTTATCTGCAGACCAGTCAAGCTTATTAGTTTGCGATTCGATAGATGCTGCCTAGAACATGCCTTTGAATATATTTGACTATGAGGTTCTTCTCGAAAGTAGCCTATTCAGATGTTTTCTGAATTTTGCTATTCATCCATAGATAATTTGAACTTAAGTCTCTTTGGTAGGGTCTACAGATTGAATAGTTGAACCAATCGAGTGTACAACTATATGAAGGAGTGCTGTGTAGCATCATCTGAGAATTTGGGCTACCTATTAAGTCCTAATAAGAAGCACCCGGGTTGATGAAGTTGGTTGGGAAATTCACAACCATGGAGTTTTGTTTAAAACGAGTATCCAAAAACCGCTCAAATCTTTTACTGCTAACAGCCACGATATTGTAAGCACTCAACTAAACCAACTGAGATCGGTCATTAAAAAAGATGAAAAAGGTTACTCTTCTGGTTTGACTATTATTTGTGCTTATAATAACAATTGAAGCGCGAATGATAACAAATAGATTATGTAATATATGGGATGGTACATAGAGAGTATATAACTCAGAAGGGGGTGGAGAAAATTGTTGAAAATGGTAAATCAACTAAGTATTATGTAATGGCATTAGGCAAATTGGACAAGATGAAGTCAATGTTTTCTAAAAGGATTAAGACAATTAAGTGAAACAACACCGGAAACTAGTTGAAGTGAAGGCGATTATAATAACAATGATAGTGGTAAAGGAAGGATACAAAGGTTAAATTAACAAAGTTGGAGGGGGAGCTAATGGGATGGGAAAATGTTATGGCCATGATAAAAACAGTGATCACTGCACATACTTCTTTTGTACACACAGATCAGGTCTTAGTTCATGAATAGTTAAAGCCTCCACTGTTTTAAGGAGTTGAAAACGAAGAGAATGTGGGAGGTTTGGGTGAATTTGATAAATAATTTCAAAGTCATCGTCTGGATTTGTTGTGTGATGGAAGTCAATCAAATGTTCTAGAATCGAACTTCTAGCAGACTTTCTTTCACCTTCATAAAACCCAGCAGGAACATGTTCTCGTATACATGGAGAAAGCATTCTGTGACTATGGCCGATGTACCCTGCTCCACAAGAGTAGGTGAACTGGTAGATGCACATAGAGACCTGATCTGTGTGTACAAAAGAAGTGTGTGCAGTCACTGTCTTTATCATCGCCATAACATTTTCCCATCCCATTAGCTCCCCCTCCAACTTTGTTAATTTAACCTTTGTATCCTTCCTTCATCACTATTATTGTTATTATAATCGCTTCACTTCAACTAGTTTCCGGTGTTGTTTCACTTAATTGTCTTAATCCTTTTAGAAAACATTGACTTCATCTTGTCCAATTTGTCTAATGCCATTACATAATACTTAATTGATTTACCATTTCATCAATTTTTTCACCCCCTTCTGAGTTATATACTCTCTATGTACCATTCCATATATTACATAATCTATTTGTTATCATTCGCACTTCAATTGTTATTATAATCATAAATGCCTATGTCATCATCCGTTCTATTATTATTGTCATCATCATATAGTGTTTAGTTTTCCTCACAGGATATAATTTTTTCCAAATATCATATATATACGATTGTACAGCTTGAAAATAAATTTGTTGAAAAGAGTCTCTTCGCTGAATATCTTGTTCTTAATGTTACAATGGGAATTATTAAATTATTATTTGTGCTGCAATGATACATGAAGCGTAGATTGTAATGACCAGTCAACTGAATTCGCACTATTTCGAATACGGCTTTCTTTTCTGGGGATAGATGGAAACGCAAGCCAGTGTTTTTCTGAATAATTGTTTGACATCTATTCTCAAAACGTTGAATAATCTATATTGTTCAGATGGAACATCAAACAAGAGCAAGTATTTGGAAAACCTAGTAATTCCCATAATTAATGTAGATGTTCTGTAGCGCTAAAAGGAAATCTAGGTGAAAATAATTTTTTCCGTTGACACTTGAATGCCACTTCTAGAGGAACCGTTTTAACTATGGACCAAAGAACAAGCTTGGATGGCCAGCTTCCAAAGCGTGTTCAAGTCTTTTAAAGAATGCACCATTGATTTTGATCACTGATACTCCGAAAATTTCCCTAAAACTAATGATTTCCTTGGATTATCGAAATTGAAATATTAGCTTAAATAAACGGTGAACTCAACCGTATGGGGGGGGGTGTAACAACATAGGATTATTGCCTCTCAAACCATCTTTATTGGTAACATATATAGCTGAAATACTAAAAGCGCTTTAATCATAAGGTTATTGTACTTGAGTGAAGAATGATGTAAAACCTTAGAATAAGTCTGCAGATGCATGACCAGCAAACCATTTAGTCTTCATACCTTAGGCAATGCAATGTCAACCCAGATGAATCCTATGACGATATCCTTGTCCTACAAAGCATTTCTAGTGACTCTTAGCCTTTGAACTTCGTTTTCCCTTCTGTCGCTAGACTCTAATGGTTTACCCAGGCGTTCAGCAAATAGCGCAACAGTATCGTTTTGTCCTAGTGAACAGGTAACTGAATGGCATCGAATAAGAAGATAAAAAGATATTGTTAGTAGAATTCTGGGTATGGCTTGTGAAGCATACTACTTTTATATTTATATCAAAGTCTTAAAACCGGTCACAATGACTCAGAAGTATTCACTTCTTGACATCTAAATCTTGGATGTTTGCACTAAATGTCATCTTCAATTTTGTGATTCTCACAAAACGTTGTCTTCTTTTATATCACTCTTTTCCTATCCACCTGTCCCGGCATGGCTATCCTGACCCCTCTTAAAAATAATCCAGCTTCAGCTAACATCACGTATAGTGGTAGGTAATGAGTCTGCATACGCAACGCATATTTAAACCAACATAGAGGCCAAAACATCACAAGCTTGCCGGTTTACTTGCATTTCTTGCCTAAGACTCTTGGCCTGATCTCAACAATGCTCACTTTGTGATTCCACATCACACAGAAAATGCTATAGAGAAATCTTTGATCAAGAATATGTGTCCTCTGCATGCCTTTACTTCATGTCATGTCTTAAAGTTATAAAACTGGGCAAAACAGACTGCCGTTCAGTATACTCAAACCTCTTTAGGTATTAAGACATTTCATCAGCATTAGAGCTGGTTTGATTTAGAAAATCCTAAACAGGTCCCTTCACACTCTGTAAATGCCATTGAATTTAACGTTTAAGCCAAGATTCCGTTGCTAGGCATTCGAGCTGATGCAACACTTCAAGTAAGGTAGTCAATAAATTCCATTATTCCACTCTCTGGGCTAAAAGTGGGAGTAACTGATGACCGATTTGAAGCACTGTCTTACATTTAACCGATGCAATAGCATACCAGACATACATAGATTTTATCTTAAAGTCTTCAGAATACCCTGAGTTTTGCGAGCATCCATAACAAACAGTACTGTGTCATCCACACACTCTTCGTTAACCGTTTTCTTCCTGGTTCACATCCATCAGTAAGTGTATGCAAAGGTTGAATAATAATAGTGGTTGTGGACACTACTTTTGGACATCACTTATCTTTATGACCTAAGATGACATGTCACCGTAATCTTTTACTCAACTAGATGAGTTCAGGGAATGATCCTTGATTACCATAGTATACTTTCTAGACTCTCTTTTAATAGCTAGGCACTAATACAAGGACTTTTGATAGAAGGTAATGGATGCCATCTGCAGGTCAAGAAATATGACAAGCGTCAGATGCATTAGTTACGTTGTATTCTGAAACCTATTTAAGCGTAAAAATTTGGTTGATGCACTCTTGTTCAAGCTTGAAGTAGCTTATCCGCACCAGTTAAATGTTGAATGTGTTCGAGATTTAAAGAATGCTGAATACAGTTGGACTTCATAAGATGATTATTATTATTTGTCCCTTGGGTTCCTAATGGAACATAGGGCTTCAGTAGCACGTCTCCAATGAGCTCTGTTCTCTGAAATCTTTTGAACCTGGCTCCACGACAGCCCAAAAGCTCTGATTTCTTCCTCACATCATCTCCGCAATGTCATCCTCAGCTAGGGCGCCCAACTTGTCGCTTCCCATCTGGGTTCCAGTCGACGGCCTGGCCTGACATGTGATGTCCCTAGTCAGCCTTCTCAGTGTATGCTCAATCCATCTCCACTTCCTTCAAATGCATATTTCTTGAGCGATAGCTTCTTGTTTCGTTGGTTCGTTGCCAGACCACATTTCCCCCTTGTTTATTCTTTCTGGCCATCTGAGCTTCAGTGACAAGCCAGCGCAGGTGGCAGCTGATGATGAATATCTGTAGTTTGTTGGAAACATCTTTCATAACGCGCCAAGTCTCTCAGCCACATAGCAGCACTGATTTGACCGAATTGGTGTTGAAAATCCGGATCTTGTTCACGCTTTATGCTGAGTGCAGAAGATCTCCACACTGATTTCAGGCTAATGAACGCCTGTCTTGCTTTTCCAATCCTGGCTGACTTTGATGTCCTCGTCTGTGCCTGTGCCGTCTGTGGTTGAAATAGTGTTGCCTGGATAGGTGAAAGAGGCTACTCCCTTTAAGTTTCTCCCACTAATGGTGATTGGAGCTTGTTATTGGTGTTGGTGGTTGGGTATCTTCATCACCTCTGTCTTCTCTATGTTCACTTGAAGTCCGTCTTCACTGCCTCACCTCTTCTGTCAACTTGTTAGTTTTCGCCTGTAGATCTTCAAGTTTGTGTGACATTAGACATAAATCATCGGCGAAATCTAAATCTTCTAGGTTCTTTTCCATGGTCCACCGTATCCTCTTCCTTCCGCTCCTCACAAGATGAGTTTTTTGTTAAATACATCGTTTCATCCTTGTAACTAATTGATAAATTGTTGGCCATAAAACTGGTGTTCATTTTTTGAGAAGGAAACTACTATCACAATTGTGATTCAGCTTCAAAGTATAAATGAATTACTGAGTATATTCTTGTTACACGTCCAAGATGAAACTAAAACATTTCATGGAAGTCAAGTGTATAGCAACAACAATTCAGTTTTTCTTTCTGATTTTTAAAATGTTGCTAGTTTGTTTATCACGACTATTTTATGGCTTGAAGTAACGAGTATTTACAGTGAGATTATTTTAGTATTGAGCTAAATAGCCCAGTTAATGTTTAACTAATTTGTCATCCAGACGAAAGATTGTTCTGTTGTAGCCAGCAGACTGTTATAAAATACTCACTTGCTTGTTACCTACTTATATTACTTGTGAGATCGGCAGGATATCAGATTGTTTACTGAGTTTTGAGTTTTCTGTGTTGCTAGCTCTATCCTATTCCATGACTGAAACATGAAGATTAAAGTTTGGGGGCAAACAAGGACGACAGGTTTTCGATCAATGTTGCCTCAGTAGCATAAGTTGTGTATCGTCGAACCAACATATAAGTAAAATGAAAGTCAGGAGTGAAGTTCTAGACAAAAGAGGTAAGTTAGCGCATCAGGTGGTAAATCTGCAACAAACCAGGTGGCTTGGGTATGTGCTACTCATGCGCACTCAGCTTGCTATGTCGCAAAATACTAGCTGAAATGGGTTTAGGCTAGAAGGAAAGGTCAAACGCAGACAGATTGAAGCCACTCACTGTTGGTCCCTTCGGATAGAAAAATGAAGACTTCCAGATAGAGGTGCACATGGCAACCACAAATGATCGTTTAAAACTGCAGGTTATATGGCTCGACGTTGGTCAGAACTGAAAGTATTGCTGCAGATACACCTGCACCTAATCTTCATCTTAAGGGCTATGTCACATTCCATTATTGGCTTTCATCGCTCATCTTTGTGTTTCATAGCTTTCCACAACCTTTGGTACATTGTTTCCACTTCTTTATCTTCTCATCCTGTGCCTTGTATGTTGATGGACTGACATGGCTTTTGCCAATTTGCGCCACCTATGGCGCCGCCGTGATATTCGTTTGTCTATTAAGGGTTGCGTGTACTGCACAGCAGTCCGCTCTGTTCTACTATATGGCTGTGAAACATGGCCATTGAAAGTGGAGGATACAAAAAGGCTTCAGGTGTTTGACCACCGTTGCCTTCGTAGTATAGGACGTATTCCGTGGTGTCACCACACCACGTGAGTAATGCAGAAGTTAGGTGTAGAGTTTTGGGGAGAAGAGGTAAGTCAGTTGACGAGGTTGTGAACCTTCATCGACTGAGATGGTTGGGACACGTACTACGTATGCCTAGTCACCGATTGCCTCGTCACACAATGTTGGCTGAGGTGGGTCCAGGCTGGAAAAAGGCCCGAGGTGGACAGACTAAAACATCGCACCAATGTATGAAGTCTCTGACTGTTGGTTTAAGCCATGTAGGACGATGCAGACTAGGTGGTTGGGGTCCACGGGACAAGAGGAACCAGTGGTTGGAGACCCTAGGTGATATGGCTCAGAACCGATGTCAGTGGCACAGATGTATACACACATTATCCTCATCTTAACAACGCTATACCAAATCTCACCATTTTGTTACTCCTCTTTCCTTTCTTCTCGTACTTTATATTTCTTTTGACTGCACTCACTTATCTTCATCCTTCACCTCATTACCTTTTTACTTGATGTGCTGATATGAGGTGTGGCAAGTTGGACCGTTACGCAGTAATGCCTGGTCCTATGTTGATAATGATGATGATGATGATGATGATGGAAACATGGAATGGTTGGCAGTCAGTCATGCAGAGTCCTACTCATATTGGTATTGACTAACTGATTAAGTAGTCCATGCAAAAAATATCTTCTGGAACAAATACTCCAAATTGGTTCTAGTTTCCTTTTATTCTTAGGATTTATTAGTCAGATTTATTAACACTTCGTTGCAAGAGACACAAGAAGACTCATAATCGATTTATCATTAAAAGTACTAGATACAGAATGCTGATTTGACAAGTTCCCAATCATTGTGGTTTTGATCGAGATAAAAATCTAATGTATTTCTTATCTATCTCTTTTCTCTCATTAAAGTTTTGCTCATGAATCACTAGTAATTATGCATTTTTTCACCATTCTTTCTTACACAACACCTAGTTTCCTACCTCACCAGCTTACTCGTCAGATAACTGTAATGTTCCGGTTGTCTCTATTGTAAATTTATGGTTATTTGGAGTGCCTACAAGATTAGGAAATAACTGAAACTGATAACCAAAATGAGAGGAGGTAGTGTAGATTCGATACTGTCATGAAGTCGAAGTTTTATTTTGAAACAGACTAACACTACTACACTATTTGCTGTTTGTAGCCTATATACCATAATTTCCCGCCTAAAGATGTGTAACTGTGAGACTTTTTAGTAAATACTTTCAGTATTTATTCGTTTAAGCACGAAAATAAGGATTTTGATGTCATTTGATTTACGCTGGATAGTAGTGGAATTCAGGCAAAGTTTCGTCCTATTCAGGATTCATCAGCCAGATCTGTTTGCATCCAGTTGAATAAACAAACAGGAAACTTAAAGTTTCAATAAAGATTTGGTTTCAAAATGCACAATTTAGCTAAACAGTCACATATTCTTTCAATGGGCTAAGTTGTTTAGAGTTTGACTGAAACATTTCCAACTTTATTCATTACTGAAATATTTAGAAGGAAAATAGACAGAGCATTCACTTAGATAATAACAATAATAATAATAATAATTCACTTTGTTCCAAACCACTTGTGGTACAATTTGAAATTCTCAGCATGATGTAATTGCGACAACAACAACAACAACAACAAAATGTCAGTATAAACATACTCCTTTGCAACATTTCGAATTGTGTTATTATAAAAAATTTAAGTAATGTAAAGAATATTAAAAACGAGAAAATTTTACATTGTTAGTTGAATTATTGAAATGGGATTTTTAATTGTTACAAAATTGATGTGTGATTTCTGTTCTAACACTTTTTTCCTCACAAAATATGCATACCAGGTAAGGTACAGTCTAATTCTTATACTTAGCTGTATGAGCATACAGTCTTATGTAGTTTCTCTTTGTCCTCCCTGAGAGGAGATACATGAAGAGAGCTGTGAATGAAGTGGATGCTCATTGTCAGTTAAAATTCCTGTAGCTAGTAGCTTGCAGGAATTTATATGATTATCAACTATAGTGTTAATCAGTTGAACCAGAGGCACAACACTCACTCTGCTGATGGCCTTCAAAGCTCTACGCAACATAACATAGTCCTTTTTTAGAAGACTAGGAAAGATCAGCTGGGAATAATATAGAAGAATAGGTAAAATGCAGGAATTAATAAATTGTAAGAGAAGCAGTTGAGTTATATCAGAAAGCCTCAGTTTATGTAAAAAGTTGAACGGAAGATTTTTTTACAAGTCAACAAAATATGGTACGACCCAACGCAAGATAGTTCACACTTGACTTATTTTCTCCAAAAATACCATCGATGCAGTAGGCGTCATGAGATTTAAACAGCTCACATGTCTTGTTTATGCCTGAGGCCAAAATTAACAGTCTCAAATTCAGAAGGGTTTAGTTTGAGACCATTTGAGAGAGACCATTTGCCAACTACAGACAAGAATTCATTTAATTCAGTTCAATATAAGTGAGAGCTAACTGGAATAGACACGATCAGGTCATCAGCATAATTGATAAAATTAGTTTCAACAGAATAAGGTAAATCGTGCAAAAAAAACGAAAACAGAAAAGGAGAAAGTACAGCATCTTGAGGCACACCAGCTTCAGTAAGCATTGATGTCGAGCGCATCCCTTTATAGATAATGTACTGTTTCCTTTAAGAAAAATAATAATGTAACCACTTTGTAACCCATGGCTCAGTGTGAGATATGGCAAGCTTATTTAACAAAAGTGGTTTAGGAACACAGTCAAAGGCTGATGAGTAATCCAAAAAGGCAAATTCAAACATTATGCAGAAAGAAATAGTGCACTTCATAGCAGAGTTTCTCACAGTTACAAAGAAAAGAACTCAGATATTTTAGACATGTAAGCTTAAATAGCAAAAGGGTAGTGAATACAATCGTATTCTTGATCATTATCTTAAGTCTAAAGTGATGTAATTATTTCGCTATCAACAGATTCCCTAGTTAATTCTTGTTTATTTTGTTTCCTAATCAGAAATGTTTGGCACCTGGTTACAGTGTTGATTGTCGTGTAACCTTCCTACCTGATGAACCAAGATATTATGAAGATTGTATACGTGTACATACTGAAGTTAGTAAATATACATTTTTTTCTATACTCTTTGAATGAAAGCGTTGTGTATAAGCATGCAGTTTTTATCATAGATGGATATCATTTAGAGAATCATTGATTACCTGAGAGCATAGGATCACTGCCTTGTCATAGTTTGAAATTCCTGTAGGGTTCTTCCCCATCAGTCTCAAGACGATCGATTTCTAAACCGTTATGTCTCACAATCCAAGTGATATGCAGTGATGAACTGGTTAAATCACTAATGGACATAAGTAGAAAAAGTAGGCCGAACACAGATGATTGGTAACAGGCTTGACAAGAGATATAATGGTCAATGGCACGATCTCTCATTATGTCATGAGTATGTACTAATAGAGAGTCCCAAATCAGGACGAAATAGCTTTGCATTTCTTCACCTTTTTAATGACACTCTAAATCATTTTAATTTGTGATGGAGACTACTTGAAATTAATAAATATCCATAATACTCCAACAGGAGAAACTTAAAGGAAGTAGTCTCTTTCACCTACCTACCCACCTAGACAGCATCGTTTCAACTACAGGCGGCACAGACAAGGATGTCAAAACCAGGATCGGGAAAGCAAGATAGGCGTTCATTAACCTGAAACCAGTGTGGAGATCTTCTGCACTGAGCATAAAGAAGGAGATCCGGATTTCCAACACCAATTCAGTCAAGTCAGTGTTTCTATATGGTTCAGAAACTTGGCGCATTACGAAGGGGATTTCCAACAAACTACAAGCATTCATCAACAACTGCCTACGCTCATTATTAAAGCTCAGATGGCCAGAAAGAATAAGCAACAAGGAACTTTGGCTGGTGACGAACCAACGGAACAAGAACCTATCGCTCAAGAAATATGCACTGGAAGGAAGTGGAGATGGATTGGGCACACACTGAGAAGATCATTCAGGGACATCACGTGCCGGGCCAGGCCATCGAGTGGAATCCAGATGGGAAAACGGCAAGTTGGGCGTCTGAGGGGAGGGTGACATGGAGTAGATCATGTGAAGAAGAAAGGTTGTTGGCAGTCATGGCGATAGATTCAAAAGATTGCAGACAAGAGAGTGGAATGCAGACGTGCTGCTGAAGCCCTATATTCCACTAGGAACTCAAGGGACAAATAATAATAACGACAATAATAACAATAATAATAATAATAATAATAATAATGTATGATAATACTCCATCTGAATAGGTAAATAATAAATGACCTTGCGCTGATCATTTAAATAGTCTTAGGAATTTTCGAGTTCCTCTATTTTAACAGTTTGTTTCATTGAAACAAAAATGCTATTAAAAATATTCTGTTTCATTTAAAACCGTTTGATCACCCTTATTTATAAGTCATATATTCATTAAATCACCCAGTCAATTATTGATGATTTGTATCATAAATTATGTTGATTGATCATTTAATGGTTAGAATGGAAACCATCATTTTAGATTTATTTGGTAGGTTTGTGTACATTTATTAAGTTCCAGGTGGTTTCATCACTGTCTGACAGAAGTTGGAGAACCGTTGAAAATGTGGAAGTACTGGACAGTTGTTTCATCCTACTGTAGGACTCAACTGTGCATACCCATAGTTTTGCTAGGGATCTGACACAAGACCCTCAAGCTTCACTATGAGGATGTTTTCATTAAGCCACTAGGCTGGGATCCAATAGTCGAAATTTTCCTATTTCTGTCAATTTGCGATATACCATGATCATCATCCAATACCATTGTTGGGTATTTCCTTCATGTCTGACTTCATAGAGGTAAGGAAATGTGAACTATTAGATTCTCACCCGGTGGCTTAGTGGTAATATCTTAACCAGGAAACCTGAATGTTCTAAGTTTGACCTTTGATAGAGTTATGGATGCGCACAGCTGTGTCCCATATTGGAACGAAACAGCTATCCAGTACTTACACATTTTCACTGGTTCTCTCATTGATGCCATTATATAATGAATACCATCTGGTAATCATTTTAAATTATCGACTGTTGATATTGAAAGACTCCATACTGTATAATTCAATTCTTGTAACTAGATGGCCAACATGATTATGTTCCATGGTCTTGATCCCATTTTTATAACATGTTTCTACATTGAATAAAAAGTTTCACTTAAATAGTTGTTTATTTTCAATCAGATCAGTTGTTTTCATCAGATATTCCCAATGTGATGGTATTGGATACAACAGTTTCTAGCTCTTATCAGTTTAATTTATTCAAAGCATTTTAGACTGTTATTTACTGATCAGTTGTATTGATCACCGATATCACTAAATATACCGAGTTCGAATGATAAACATAACTAAACGTCAAGTAGATGAATATTAGGACAAAATACTGTTATGGAAGTGATTGAGTTTTAGATGCATGTAAAAATAAACTAACCTGTTATTTCAAGTTGTTATTCATCGAAGACTGACATCAGTTGGAGGAACAAAGGAAACCTGGGAGCACTGGACAGCTGTTTCGTCCTAGTATGGGACTCCTCAGTAGTGCTCCCAGGTTTCCTTTGTTCCTCCAACTGATATCAGTCTTCGATGAATAACAACTTGAAATATTTCCAAATCTCCACAACTCCCTCAAAATTTAACCTGTTATTGTAAACAATGAATACCAATATGACAAACTAACTGTCAACCAGTCAACATTCAAGGCGAAAAATCAAGGAAGGATTCTAACAGATGACAGAAAAACTGAATTTCTTCGACAAAACAATAAAAAAGATATAAATTGTCTGAAATGTGTAATGTATTCGTGAAACACACTTTGAACAGTGTGATCACACACATACTTGTCATGGTTATGCATTCAGGGGATTCTCAGTGGGAACATTAACACCAAAACATAAGGTATATCCGTCTGACTAAATTTGAAGAGGATGAAACACTTATCCCATACTAAACCCTTACAAATATGTAACAAGTAAATGACAGGTAATTGACTCCTGCAGTATTGCATATCATCATGTGTATATGCGTACATATAAAATCCTAAGTGTTTTCGATAATCCCGAAGGATGCTGGGTTTGCGCCTCAATGGTAGCAACATCACTCCATAATAGGGTGCAGGTACTTCCGACTGAGAGTCCCAAGTAGGACAAAACACATGTCCTGGATTCCTCTGTCAGTCACCGAGATCAACATAACAGCATAAATCACTTAATAATGATTCGTTGGGATTTATTGGTTTAGATTAGTATCATTTAGAGAACTATTGAAAGCCTGGGGTAAACTAAGTCAGGAGTGAGGCGAATAGATGCCAATAACATTGGATCACAATCGTATTATCATAGAAGTCTACATGAGTAGAGAATATTGAGCCAGTGACCGGATGCTAATAAACTTGTCAACAAACCTAGTGGTCCTGGACCCCATCCCACTCATGGTTATGCGGATACATTACTGAGGAGTCCAAATGATAGCAGTTCCTTTATGGAAACTATGTAATTTTAATGTTTACTGTCGGATGATTTAACATTGGAGTCTTTGGAGTAGAACTAATATTTCAGTGATGAGTACAAATAGGTACACAAAACTTGCTTATATAGACTACATTTTATTTCTCTATAACGATCTCATAATAATTATCTGTTAACCTTTACATATTAATATTTATCGACTCTATACATAGTGTTTCTGTAAATTCTTCCTTTCTTCTCTGTTTATACATATATACACACACACACTTACAAGGATCATGAGAGTCAGTTAATTGTTCCACTTTATGCTTATCCTGTGATTGGAAATTTTGAATTCCCTGAACTTATTGAATTTCCACCTACTACTATTGGACAAAAGTGAGTTGTTTTCGTTCTATTTAAGCTTATTTATTTTTTATACATTTGAGTTGATTTTTGTCACTGTGTTTCAGTATCACATAAAAGTTACATTGATTATCGATGATTAACTAACTGGTTCGTGGGTATATTGAAACCTAAAGGTCATGAGTTCGATCCCTAGCCAAGTCGTGGGTGTATACTGCTGAGGAGTCTCATATTAGTTGGACGAAACAGCTGTTCAGTGCTCCCAGATTTCTAATGGTTCCCCAACTGATGTCAGTCCATGATGAATACTACTTCTAAATTAAAAATCCTCATTCATCTCAAAAATACATTACTCTATTGTGCTCATTAGTGACTTCCTTCCAGATGGATATCACTAGGCTCTAATGAGAAGATGTGACCTATGGGGTCAACCAGTCGGAAGTGAAGTGGATGCTAACCGAAGACCTTGAGTGATAGTCGCGCTATATCATGAATTGACAGAAGTTGAAAATTGTGAACCACTGGGAACCGACCGAGTGGCTGAATGATTAACTCGATCGCCGTGAGACCTGAAGGTGATGAGTTCGGTCCCTCGCCGGGTCGTTGGTGTGTACTGCTGAGGAGTCTCATACTAGTTGGACGAATCAGCTGTCCAGTGGTCCCAGGGTTTCAGTGGTTCCCCAACTGATGTCAGTCCATGATGAATACTATTTCTAAATTAAAAATCCTCATTCATCTCAGAAATATATAACTGATCTCTTAGCTGGTACTTTGATAAGAGGACGTTTCTCTGTCAAGCGAGATATTATCACTAGTGCTTCATAAGGGATATTTTCCACCAACTGGTTCTGTTTCAGTTACACACTATCCTATTCATTAACATGATAATAATGGGGGGAATGGTTTTAATACTGATAGACCACTTTGAAAAACATTTTCTGTTTAATTATTCTGCATTAATGATTCATTGAAATAAATTTTTAATTAATACACGAATTCAATCTTATAACTGTGAAAAGAATAATAGCAACAAGAGAATTTCGGTGGTATGTTGTGAAATGCCTACTACTTAGAAATATGAAACTGATTAATTTGACTAAAAATTTAACACACTTTAATTCTGATAATTTACTTGGTTGTGGTTAGCAGAAGAATCCAAGATGCATGTTTCGTCCTACTTGGGGACTCATCAGCTGGATGTACCTCCAGCATTCTCAGTGAGTGATATTATTTCCATGAGTACCAAATAGGATGAAATGCAAGTCCTGTATTCCTCTGCCAGCCCGCTAACCAACTAAATTATCATAATTAACATTCAGACAGTATCGAGGCATCCACATAGGAGTTTATATGCCAATAGAGGTGGAACAATTCAATCCAGTAGAACAACGGAGAATTATAGTCATATCCCTAAGTAGTTACACTTTAATTCATTGGAAGAAGACAGAATATCGATCAGTTGTTAGGATACTGAGAAATAGTTATAGTGTAGTGGTTCGTCGCAGCAGTAAATCCGAGGAAGGTTAGTAAATAATAGCAAATTGTCACTAATACATACGTAATTCAGTCGAAATTTCTTGAATAAAAATACACACAGGCTTAGTAATCATAATGTTGACTTAGTTAACATTATAAGATTATACAACTATGTCATACGATGAGTAAGTTACTAACCGAAACATGCAAAATATTGTGAGTTAAGCTAAGTAACTTGAAAACTGTCTATATGAACCAATTTGATTTAAGTTGATCTATTAGATGTACCACTCAACGCTATATCGTGAACTGACAGAAGTTGGAAATATGGACCATTGGATCCCGACTCAGTGGCTAGCTCAGTGGTAACGGAACCTGAAGGTCTCAGGTCTGAGCCCTGGTGTTGCGGGGTCGTGGGTACGGACTGCTGAAGAGTCGCATACTAGGACGAAACAGCTGTCTAGTGATCCCAGGTTTCCATTGTTCCTCCAACTGATGTCAGACCACGATGAATACCAACTTGAATTTGATTTAAGTTGATTTATTAGATGTACCACACAATGGAACAGTTTTATCGACTTGATTACACTTCGAACACGATTTATTGTACACAGTCTTACCAAGAAAACTCTGCGAATTCTAGACAATGGTTTATATAGTTCTGATTCTCTTGCATCCTTTGTGATGTAGGTAATAAGATTTCTTATATATACGAAACAAGTACTGAGTCATTCCTGTTGCATACGTTTCGTTATGATTCGATAAACAAAGACTTAGTTATCAATATCTTTCTCCACCCCATTAGGTTAGTTTTGGGGATTTTCATTCTCCAGTTATCTGATGTGGTTGTGTAATTACATGCATAGCCATGAACCAGCACTCCTCTAGATTCCTTATGTTAATAGGATCTACTAATCTTGATCTAACCAGATGTTTTTTACTGTGCTCAGATAGCCTAATTGACTGACCCGTGGTGGACTACTTTGACTTCGCAATCGTTGAGATGGATTCGGTAAACTAAATTATTCTGCCTAATTGTATCAATAGGATCTTTTGAGTTAAAAGGCTTATTTCTAAGTGAATTTATAGGTGTAACTGTCACTTTAATTCCAGCCTTATTGAGAATCCCACGTAATGTCTTTGATATGCCTTCCGTGTATGGTAATACTGTTGAGATTCAGAATTCTCTCTTCATAGTATTATTATTAACATTATTCTTACTACTATCAATACCTGTGTTTTTAATACTAGTCTTATTTTTTGTACTATTATTAAGGAACTTATTGATTAATTTTGGAAGGTAAGTGTTGATGACTAAGGTGTCCTGAATCTATCTGACTTCTTCGGTCTTCCGATTTACAAGTAAGTATTTTGGCCCTGTTACTTAGACATTTTAATAAAGTCAACTTTAACTGATATATGGTGAGACGATATGAAGTCCAAGTAACGATTAGCGTGTTTTAACTTGTTTCTTGTCAGTTAGAATTCCTCTTCAATATTAAGAAAGATATTTTATTTTCTAAAAATATTTTGGTAGAAACTTGGTACATTATAGACATAACGACCAATGGGTCACGGGTTCTAAAACTGATCCACCTACTGAGGTTTAGGAAGTCAGGTAATATCATTAGCTCTCAAATGCTAGGGGTGGCTCATTGGCTACTGCAGGAATGTGTACACGGTTACTGAGTTCACTTCACTTTGGTTCGTTCACTTCGAGTGATACATAAGGTCCAGAGCTTTAAACACTAGCTATCAGCTACGTCAAACAACGACAATGATAAGTATATAACTAATAGAAGACCAAAGACATTTACAGAATAAAATGATCTCATTTTAATTCATGGCCCTTCATCAGCTTCAAACCGCCTAAAATTGAAATGAAGTATTTGTAGCAATAATGGCATGACATACTTTAAATATGTAGAAATAGAAGGAGATTTGAAATCCAGTAATAATAGTAAGGTAATGAACCGAGGAAACACAGGGTCTTAGTTACAAATCTTGATGAAAATAAATGACAGTTTATATCCGATAAGACAGAAAATTCTGGAGCTGTGGAGTGGGGGCATAACAAACGAAAATCAGTGTAAAAGAAGGGACTTTTTAAGAGCTAACATGTTACGTAATTACATGAAAAATTTGAAAATCGTTGAGTGACTGATATTTGGTAAGTAATTAATGAAGAGATGATGCAATCAAGAGAGAAGGGAAGACTTTATATATACACATGCAAAAATTATATACAGTTACCAAAGCAAAGAAAGATTTAAATACAGTCTCTTTCTGAGTATATTGGTCAGGTTGAGAATGTTTGATGGCGAAAGCTTCCGCAAACGGTAATAAATATGGCTTTCTTTGTTTGTTGATTGTACTGAAGAACTGAGAAACATCTATTTGATGTCTTGTTCCCATCAGGTGCCTAGTGATTGTGTTGGTAAACACTATGCTACCATTCAGACATAGACTTCTCGTAATATGCTCATAAAATCGAGTAAATGCCCTTCTTTTGGTCCCTTCTATGTACTTACTTTCAAAAACACAAGTGAATTGATATACGCAGTTGAGGTTACATGAGATGGGTAATTATCTACATTCGACTGTATGATTGAGCATAATGTATTGTAAAGTGAGGTCAGTCTAACAGCAGAGAAGCTCCTTCTCAGTGCAGTTTTTATTCTTCTATCTATTCTTGCAGATGTCTTTTCACCTTTGAATGCTAGGCGAAGGAAAACAGGCTTCTTCCCAATAGTTGAATGCTTTGGTCTCTCAATATATATATATATATATATATATATATATATATATATATATATATATATATATATATATATATATATATATATGCAGTTACTATTTTTCCCCTGGGTTCCTAGCAGTAGCACGCTTCCATTCCACTCTCTTCTTTGCAGTCTTTTTAACCTAGCTCCACAACTGCCCACAACCTTTCATTTATTCCTCACATCATCTCCTCCATGTCACCCTCATCTCACACAACCAACTCGTCGCTTCCCATGAGGATTCCACTCTGGGGCCTGACGCATGATGTCCCCACTCGACCATCTCAGTGTATTCCCAATCCATCTCCACTTCCTTCCAGTGCATATTTGTTGGGTGATAGGTTCCTGGTTGGTTCGTTGCCAGACGAGAGTTACTTGTTGCTTATTTTTTCTCGCCTTTTCACCTGATCTTCAGTAGCGAGCGTAAGAAGTTGTTGATGAATGTCTGTAGTTTGTTGAAAATGTTTTTCGTGATGCGCCAATTTCCTGAACCATATAGCAGCACTGACTTGACGTTGATGTTAAAAATCCGGATCTTGTTCTTTGTGATGAATGGAGTGCAGTCGGTCTCCACACTTGATCCAAATTAATGGAAGCTTCTCTTGCTATCTTTCCGATCCTAGTCTTGATATCTTCATCTGTGCCGCCGCCTGTAGTTGAAACGATGCTGCCTAGGTAGGTGGAAGAGACTACTTCCTTCAGGTTTCTCCCATTCATGGTGATTGGTGCTTGTTGTTGATGCTGTTGTTGGTTGGGTATCTTCATCACCTTCTTCGTTTCCACGTTCACTTGAAGTCCCGTCTTCGCTGTCTCTTCTGTCAACTTGTTAGTTTTCGCCTATACATCTTCGAGTTTATATATATATATATATATATATATATATATATATATATATATATATATATATATATATATGGATTTCCAACAAATTACAGACATTCATCAACAACTGCTTACGCTCGCTACTGAAGATCAGACGGCTAGAAAGAATAAGCAACAAGGAGCTCTGAGAAGAAGCAACCAAGAACCTATCACCCAACAAATATGCACTGGAAGGAAGTGGAGATGAATTGGGCATACACTGAGAAGGCTGACTAGGGACATCACGCGTCAGGCCAGTTGCTCGAGTGGAATCCCCATGCAAAGCGACGAGTTGGGCATATGAGGTGAGGATGACATGGAGGAGATCGTGCGAGGAGGAAATGAGAGCTTATCGGCTGTCGTGGAGCCAGGTTCAAAAGATTTCGGAGAACAGAGTTCACTGGAGGCGTGCTACTGAAGCCCTATGTTCCATTAGGAACCCAAGGGACTAATAATATATATATATATATATATATATATATATATATATATATATATGTGTGTCAATACGATTTTTAATTTCTATAAAATCTTAGCGAGAATCTTTTCATGAGTTAGTATACGTTTGTGTATCTCATATCACAAAATTGTGTTGATTTTTTCCTTATCTTTCAAAGGAGAACTCATGTAATCCCAATCAAATCTTCTTCCGTAGTTGACTTTGAGTTTCGAATTCAGATTATGAAAATTCACCCAAGTTTTTCGATTCAACCTTTAAAGGGTAAGTACTAGATGTTACTAATATAGTTGAATGATGGTATACTTTGTTTTCCATTATATGTATGTGTGTTGTAGTTTTTCCAGTCACTTATGTGAATGAATAACCGATTTGATTGACATTCTAATGATACGTCTTCTATGCTTACAAATGTTTATAAATGCTTGTTATTGAATGAAACAAGGAAAGGTAGTTATAATCCTAATCATATATATTTTATCATTTTAACTATCTGTGAGATAACCATGGTTTGACTGACTTGTATTATTGATACTAGATGATGATTGGAGATGAACGTCACTGGTTCAAATACCACAGCAATTCAGATTTTCATTTCACGATCAATTATCATCCAATACCAAGTATATTGTAGTCAATTATTTATTAAGATGTTATTTTTTGAGATGAACGGGTATTTTTAATTTAGAAGTAGTATTCATTGTAGACTACTTTTAAATTAAAATCCCCCTTCATCTCAAAAATACATTACTCTATAGTACTCATTAGTCACTTCCTTCCAGATGGATATCAGAAGGTTCTAATGAGAAGATGTGACCTATGGGGTCAAACAGTTGGAAGTGAGGTGGATGCTAACCGAAGACATTGGGTGATAGTCGCGCTATGTCATGAATTGACAGAAGTTGAAAATTGTGAACCACTGGGAACCAACCGAGTGGCTGAATGGTTAACTCGATCGCCGTGAGACCTGAAGGTGATGAGTTCGGTCCCTCGCCGGGTCGTTGGTGCGTACTGCTGAGGAGTCTCATGCTAGGAAGAAGCAGCTGTCCAGTGGTCCCACGGGTTTCAGTGGTTCCCCAACTGATGTCAGTCCATGATGAATGCTATCTCTAAAGAAGCTATTTCATAGTTCTATTTCGCAACTGTTTCTACAGGCTTTTTAAAGAGTAATTCATTACTACTTCATGCATTATTCTTGAAAATATTGTTAATTAACTCCCAGCTACATACCTTATTTTCTAGCATAAATAGCTTTGTTGTACTGTGTAATAGTGATATATTGCGTATTGTGAACATGCTGTTCAATAAATGCATTAGCTATCAATCTCAAAGGAAACTATTAATAGAAGGCATGTGAATGTCTTATCTAGTTTCCAGTTTATTCGAGATAGGTAATTACAACTGTATTGAGACTGTGAGACGTACAGAAAGTCGTAATCACGTTACTGGAAGTCTTCAGACACTCCTTATATTACTACGAGCTATATATATAGGGAGAGGGAGAGAGACAGAGATAGAGACAGAGATAGACAGACAGACAGACAGACAGTTACTCAGTAAATATCAATATATGACTTGACAAAACTACATAAGGGTTCAAGTCACTACACCTTACAACAGCACATCAAGAAACAATGGCGTAATATGAAAGATAAAGAAATGATCCAAAGTTGCAGAAAGGCATAAGAAATGAAAAAAATGGGGTTGGAAGAAGATAGTATGTGGATGCGTTTATACTATTGAGGATGATTCTTAGAAGTATAAAATACACACTCCAACCATAGAGTTAAGTTACTACTTGGAGGCCGATCACGAAGTCAGCACTCACTTGCATACCCAAGTGACTTAATGAGGTGGTACCACTTTTTACTTTATCCCTTTATAACCTTTTCCCAACCTAAAACTACTTCAGGTAGTATTTAGCGATAAAGTAAACTATCACTAGACATGCGTAACGTATGTTATAGCCTTTGAATCGACGAAATTTCATAACCTCATCAACGGACTTATGTCTTTTACCTACAGTCCTATGCCTGACCAATATGTGACACCAGTTGATAAAGTCCCTGACTGTTGGTCTGAACTACGTAAATGATGTGTAGACTACTTGTCTGGGGTCTCCGAGACGACAGAAATCAGTAGTTGAGGAGTCTTGGTGGCGTAGTTGAAAATGGGTCACAGCGGCTATGTATTGGCTCTTTGATGTCTTCTAAATCCTGAGTATTTACCCCAAGTATCATCTTCAGATTGTTCGTCTTCTCACACAACTTTGTCTACTTTAATATCACTCCTTTCTTGTCCCCTTGTTCTCTGTATACTACTGTGAAGTGTGGCGACTTCAGGTAATGCATATGTGTACGAGATTCCACGTTGATTTTGTCCGTCTGTTTGTCTGGCACCTCATTGCTGCATTACGAAAACTAATTCAAAACACATATATTGCTGCAAAAATACAGATTATTGAATACCTGCAGCCGTCTCATCTCCTTCACCTTTAATGGCCACTTTCAAAGCCCACAAGAGAGTTCACTAAAAGTGTATGCATACCAGTCTATTCACCTAACCGGAAAAAGCCAGAGTAAGTATCTCACTCTTCGTTTGAGCATTCTCCCACCAAATTAGACCATATTATTTATGTATTTAAACTGATATCAAGCGTTAACTTTGGAAATTTCTATTTTATGTGGTTGGTTTCAAATTGCTTTAATAATGAGCAAACCAAACAGCTGACTGAGACCCGGCTGCTACTCCGAACATGAAGTATAGATAACTTTATACTTGGAATATTCGAAAATTCATTTTCGAATACACAGAACCTGCACAGTAGAGACTGATGTAGCAGAAAGTCGTTAGTCGAAGTCATTCAAATGACTCATTCCATATTATTTAATGCACATACTTCGTCATTTATGATTATTACTTGTCCTTTGGGTTCCTAGTCGAATATAGGGCTTAGGTAGCACGTCGCCATTTCACTTCGCTCTCTGCATTCCTCTTAACCTGGCTCCACGACTGCCCATAAGCTCCCATTTCCTCCTCACACCATCTCCTCTATATCACCCTTCGACACCCAACTCGTCATTTCCCATCTGGGTTCCACTCGAGGGACTAGCCTAATGCGTGTTGTCTTCAAATACTCTTCCCAGTGTATGCCCAATCCACATCCACTTACTTCTGTATATTCCTTGGGCAACAGCTTCCTGCTTCGTTGGTTGGTTCGTTGCCAGCCAGACCAGAGTTCCTCCTTGCTTATTCTTTCTCGTCTTCTCATCTCATCTGATCCACAGTTTGCAGCCAGCTTAGGCAGCAGCTGTACATGTATGTATGCAGTTTGTAGGAAGGAAATGCTTTGCGTAACACACCAAGTCTCTCAACCATCATCACATGGAATCATTGACTTGACTGACGTAGTGTTGAAAATCCGGATCTTGTTCATGCTTTATGCTGAGTGCAGTGCAGTAGATCTCCACACTGATCTCCACAGAATAATGGAGACCTGTCTTGTTGTGCTTCCGATGCTGGCTTTGATATCGTCATCTATGCCGCCGATGCCTGTAGTTGAGACGATACTACCTAAGTAGGTAGGTGAAAGAGACTACTTCCTTTAGATTTCTCCCGTTCATGGCGATTGGTACTTGTTGTTGGTTGGGTATCTTCATCAAACCTATCTTCTCTACGTTCATCTGAAGGAAGTGCAATCTTCACTGCCGTGCTTCTCTTGTTAGTTTTCGCCTGTAGATCTTCGAGTTTATGTGACATAGAACATTAGACATAAATCATCATGGGCGAAATCCAAATCTGCTAGGGTCTTTTCATCGGTCAAACAGCGTATGCCTATCTTCTCGCCCCTCACAGTTTGTCATATAATCCAGTACAGTACAGTCGAGTCGAGTAGAGTTCAGTAGACCGAAACCAGGAAGATCATTGGTGATAGTTGGCAGCAATCGTGTCTTACTCCTGTCTTCACTTCAAAGGAGTTACTTGGTCAAGAAGCACAAGTTTTCAGGTTAACAGCTTTAAAGTTTTTTTATCATGATGAAAGAAATATAATACAGCTGAGTCAGCGCATACACACTCTTGTGTATAGACTTTAAACACACCCACTTTAACACAGCTAGTGGTATGACTTTGTGTCTGCCTAAATCTTGTCGGGTTGAAAATATTTTAAATAGGCTTCAAATTAACAAGATCACGACCGACTGAAGGATAATTTTAATTACATAATTAAAATAAACGAATAATTACTGATAAACAAGGAGTATCAGGTATGTCTTGTTTCAGATCCCGAATTTTGTGGCAATACAGAACGTCCACTGACTTAAGTGGCTTAGACATGTGTTGCACATACCAACCCATTGCCTACCTCATCGTGAAATGCAACTGAAATAAGGTTGGATTAGGAGAAAGCTCATGATGACAGGACTAAGACTTGGCACCAGTCCATAAAGTCTTTGACTGTTTGTCTGAGGTGTATAAGGAGGTATAGACTACCTGGTTGATGTCCTCAATGGTTGAAAACTTGTTGAAATAGCTGACAATCAGTCATTGTAGCGCAAAGTTATTCACTCCTTGAGGCATTCTAAGGCATGAATATTTTATTCCACTTTGAATTTTAGATTCCTTTTCATACCACTTTATGCTGTTTCTTGTTGTGACCGAGTAATGGGGTTGCGCGGGTGGGTATAATAAATACTGAGACTCAATAGACACTTCAACCGAACATCTTTACGACTGACCTCCCTCAGTACCTTCTGCTTCACTGAACCGCGGAAAAACCAGAAGACAAAGACGGCCTGTCACTGCAAGAACAGCGACAACCACTTTTATTAGGCAATTACATGACAAATATGTATTTACAAAACTCTCAGAAAGTGAAGCCATAAATGAACCAATCAGATTTCTTGTATGAGGTCGAATTCCTCCAATCAGGTTCTCATGAGCTGAAAACAACTCCCCTATTGGCTGCCTTTTGTCTCTACGTATCATTTCTCAACTATACTACTTTTTGTATGCTGCTGTGACGTGAAACAACTTGAACCGATGCATTTCTGTACAAATTTCCAACTTGTTTTAGTCAATTCGTCTGTGGTATAACTGCCATAATCCTTCATGAGGTATGTATGTAGTCATACCTTTACATATCTCTATCAAATACTGGATTGTTTAGATAAGAAATAAATTCTTATCGATTTACTTGTTTTGCCTTTTATAAAATGGTATTATCTAGGAGTTTTACACTCTGGTCAGATAACAAAACTACATATTAATTTCCAACCAACCAGTTATACAACATGTGAATTGAAATTTGAATTACATGTGGCACAAGTAAATTTTTTGGCTAAATGTTGTACAATTATTGGGAATGCAATACCTGGATTAGAAAAGTATGTCTGCTGGATGCTTATATTTTATTATATGAATATAAATGGTAGCAGTATAGTTTTCATCATGAATAGTTATTAGTTAGATAAAAAAAAGTGAAAATCTATAAGTATTCAATAGCTGATTTGTTCAATTCCCAAACTCCTGATCAGTGCACACTGATGACTTCTGGAAGGGTTAAGCTGAAGACGAAACAGCTGTTCAATAATCTCCGATTATCAATCATTCTTAATCTGATAGTAATTAACAATGGAAACTGACTTGTAATATAAATATATTTTGATGTTGGATGGATTATATAGCTTATCTAGTCTTACTCACAGGATTTATCTGATGTGAGCTAGTTGAGATGATTGAAGTTGAAAGTTGGCAGCTACTAGTTTCAAACCACAGTTTCTGTTCCACTTTTATTTCCATCTTCCTCTTATACATTTTAATGTTTCGTTCCATTAGTTGAAATCAAGCTTTTAAGAGTCGATTAGCAAGATGTTGTAGAATAATACAATAAATTTATTGACGAAACATACTCATTAACAAATATGCCAGTTTTATTCAATATGTCTTGGTTGTGTTGTGTTCTCTAAGCTGGGTTGTGTAATCGTGAAGTTTTCATTGTCTTTCTCCTAGACGACATCATTAGCATTAATATCAGTATGAAGTTACAGAACTACGAGTTAACACAAGCCCCTCAATGAAAGTCGAAGTCCTAAACACCATAAGGCTACTGAAATGCGGGAAAGCAGCAGGAACAGATAGAATCCCGCCAGAAGCACTGAAAATAGACGCAGAGATAACAGCCAAAATGCTCACACCATTATTGAAGAAGGTCTGGAAGGAAGGAAAGGTACCTGGCGATTGAAAGAAGAGCTAACTTGTCAAACTCTCGGAGAAGGACGATCAAAGTCTTCGCATCACAAGCAAAATATTAAGCTGCATCATTCTCGAGAGATTAAAAAATGTTCTGGATTCAAAATTACCACCGGAAGAGGCTTGCTACCAGGCTTCAGGAAGAACAAATCATGTGAGCATCAAATTTCAACGCTACGATACGCATCATCATACAACAGATAATACAATGGCAGTTAACTCTCCACCTCGAATTCATCGGCTTTGGAAAGGCCTTCGATCGAGGCGTCGACCAAGAAGTAATTTGGCAGTTGCTTCGACACTACGGTTTCGGTGACACAAATCTTTATCAATTATTCAACAGATATAAGAAGACACCAAGTGCAAAGTGATTCACAATGTGAAGCTTAGTGACAGATTTGAAGTAGAGACAGGAGTGATACAAGGCTGCCATCTACTATCACTCATGATCTTCCTGATTGTCGTTGACTGGACTGGATGACGCAACAAACAGTGAGGAGCAGTGAGAAGAGGAGCATACGCTGAACCGGGGGAAAGATCCCAGAAGATTTTGATCTCACCGATCAATTGTGTCTAATGTCTCACAAACTGGAAGATGTGCAGGCGAAAACTAAGAAGTTGACATAGGAGGCAGGGCAGGGTAGCGAAGACTGGACTTCAAGTGAATGTAGAGAAGACAGAGGTGATGAAGATACCATCCAACCAACACCACCACCAAGAAGATGAAGCTGCAATCACCATAAGTGGGAGGAGCCTAAAGGAAGTAGTCTCTTTCACACACCTATCTAGGCAGCATCGTTTCGACTACAGGCGGCGTAGACACAGATGAGGATGTCAAAGCCAGAATCGGAAAGATAGTAATACAGGCCTTCATGAATGTGAAATGAGTGCGGAGACCTACCGCACTCAGCATAAAGCGTGAACAAGATCCGGATTTTTAACACGAATTCAGTCAAGTCAGTGCTTGTTTGTGATGGTTGAGAGACTTGGCGCGTCACGAAAAACATTTCCAATAAACTACAGATATTCATCAACAACTGCCTACACTCGTTGCTGAAGATTAGATGAGATGGCGAGAAAGAATAAGCAAGGAAGAAACTCTGGACTGGCAACGAACCAACCAACAACCTATCACACAACAAATATGCACTGGAATAAAGTGGAGATGGATTGGGCATACACTGGAAGGCCGATTGAGGACATCACCAGCCAGTTCAGGCCCTCGAGTGGAATCGAAAGGGGGAAATGACGAGTTGGTTGTGTGAGGTGAGGCTGACATGGAGGAGATGATGTGAGGAATAAATGAAAGGTTGTGGGCAGTTGTGGAGTGAGGTTCAAAAGACTGGATAGAACAGAGTGTAATGGAGACGTGCTACTGAATCCCTTTGTTCCACTATGAATTCAAGAGAAAAATAAATAGTAATAATATACTGATGAAGACATAAAGTATGAAGAAGAACGTGCAATTCAAAGAAGGGATACTTCTCGACAATTTCATCTTCGATACTGTACAATTGTAAATTTATGTTGATTGAGTATGCCTCTGTAATAAAGGATGAATTGTTAACATCCAAGCTGGTTTTCCGTTCATAAAACGATAGAAATTGTTTTGAATGGTGAAGATTTCTGAAAATTTCACTGGAACTGTATGAAGATCATTAACAGTGGATGAGAAGTTGTGCAATATGAGAAGGTATTTACAGACTCAAGTGTTATCAATTAGAAAAAGCTTAGAAATAATAGTTGAGCATGAAATTACTTAAGATATGAATACGGTGAAAGAAGGGGTCGATGCCAAAAAAAGTTACGGATCACAAATTCATATAGCCCAGCTATGCAGTCGGTCTCATAGTTCAGCTGACAGAGAATTGAGCCGATAACCTGAAGGTTGCCGGTTTGATTTTTATTTCACCATCAATCATCATCCACCATCAAATATTGCACAGATATTCTCAGAAAATGTCTAAGTTTGTAATTTTACAGCTTCGAGGATGAAGTTGTCTGGAAGTCTTTCCTTCACTTTTTATTTCATTGTAAAGGTAAGTTTTAATCCAATCATGGTGTGTTTTTATTAGCTAAAAACAAGATCTATCTGAACGTTTCACTGTGTATGCCACAGCTTTGTAAGGAGAATATTGGCAGCATTCGCAACAACTATCGATTAGATACATACAATTCAGAATATTGGCAGCATCGTTTCAACTACAGGTGGCGGCGGCATAGATGACGATATCAAAGCCAGCATCGGAAGCACAACAAGAAAGGTCTCCATTATTCTGTGGAGATCAGTGTGGAGATCTACTGCACTGCACTCAGCATAAAGCATGAACAAGATCCGGATTTTCAACACTACGTCAGTCAAGTCACTGATTCTATGTGATGATGGTTGAGAGACTTGGTGTGTTACGCAAAGCATTTCCTTCCTACAAACTGCATACATACATGTACAGCTGCTGCCTAAGCTGGCTGCAAACTGTGGATCAGATGAGATGAGAAGACGAGAAAGAATAAGCAAGGAGGAACTCTGGTCTGGCTGGCAACGAACCAACCAACGAAGCAGGAAGCTGTTGCCCAAGGAATATACAGAAGTAAGTGGATGTGGATTGGGCATACACTGGGAAGAGTATTTGAAGACAACACGCATTAGGCTAGTCCCTCGAGTGGAACCCAGATGGGAAATGACGAGTTGGGTGTCGAAGGGTGATATAGAAGAGATGATGTGAGGAAGAAATGGAAGTTTATGGGCAGTCGTGGAGCCAGGTTGAGAAGACTGGAGAGAAGGGAGTGAGATGTCGTTATGGTACTGAAGCCGCATGTTCCATTAGGAACCCAAAAAAAAAAATAAAATATATGAGATAATAATTCAAAATAGTTAATGGAAAACTTCCTTATTTACTTTAGTATTAGATGGTCGAAACCAATTGGTAGATAACCCTATCTGACACAGGTTTTGTGCTTGTTTGCACTCATCAGCAGGATATACCTGAATCTATGAGGAAACTGGCATTCTTTTGATGATTCGAACCTGCATCATACAGTACCGATGTCAGAGCTATTCGAGTCATGACTGCATTATGTACATGTATTGGTTTCCAGTGGTAACTAACGTAACCATCTGATTTTCATTACACCATAGTATCATATCATTTCGCCTAGTGGACATATTGCCAAACTTGATAGATAGACTTCGATCAGTGCTAGGTATCAAGGTCATTAAATGAAGCTACATCGGTTGCCCATTAATGATCACTTCGTGTAGTCTAATCAGTGCTAGTTCTAAGAGATAACAGTATCTATCAATACAGATATAATAACATTTTTGCTCATTCGTTTGCTTATTTTTATTTGTTTTTAAAATTAACCTCATTGATACAGAGATGAAGATAATCTAATGGAACCGGTTGATCCTAAGTATAAGACAGGTGAAGAAATAAATTCCATAAAACATCATGAAAAATTGAAAAAACTTAAATATTCTTTCCGAAAACTGCAGAGTTTGACTGTGAGTAAAGGTTATTATTTCATTTAATTATTCATACTTTTAATTTAAGACTACCAAATGATATGTATATATATATCTTCATACTTAATCCGTTATACCTTCCAAAACTGTGTCATAAATGACACCATTAAAGCTCTCTCAACTAGTCTACTCTATGATCAAGACACGTTCTTTAAAGTTAGGTAAGTGAGTGAGAAGATTATAGTTATTTCTTACAGGATAGTTAAGGATTGTTTGAAGTGCTTTTTTCACCACACAAATATGAACTGTCGCTGCAGGAATGATGTCTGTTAATATCTCATTTGGTAGTAGAGAATGAAGTTTTTGGGCGTTTTAACCACTTCATTTACTTGATGAGTTGAATCAACCGTAATAGATGAATGGCTGACAAATTTTAGGCATAGAGAAATGAGAGAAACTTTGATTGACTTTTGAAAACTCTCCAGTAGTTTACCCTTTTCTTCTAAATGACTTTAGATCAAGGTCATAGAAATTAGAAGAAATGAGAAATTTTATGGTTTTCAGCCACTGTTACTTTCATTGTATAGGTAATGTATTGTGTAACTATCATATTGGTAATCTGGAAGTTACATTTGGAGTTTTATGCAAAATAGGCAAGTCAAATAATCAGGTTGTAGACGTTTATAGACTCAGGTGGCTAAAATATGTTCTACGCATACCTAGTTACCATCTACTCCACAGTGCATTGTTAACCAAAGTAAGTTTAAGCTGGAACAAAAGCCATGCTGATATTGATTATATGACTTCATGAAGAAAATAGTAATGAGTGGTATGTATGTATTTGTATTATTACCATTAGTGAAGGTTTCAGTTGAAATAATAAAAATATTTAAAACTTTTGTTCAGATTTCACTTTCAAGATGCAAAACGATGCTTTCATCTTTGCTTATATACAACGTTTTGCGTAAATGTAGTTCAAATTATTTCCTTGAAGTCCCAACCAAAAATAACTACGGTTTAAGTATTACAGACAGAAGATACACCTTTGTCTCAATACTGCCTGAATATTTAATATTATAACTGACTTAGTCGTGGACAGTAGTGGAATTCAAGATGCATGTTTCGTCATCAACAAATACCTACACTCGTTGCTGAAGATCAGATGAGAAGACGAGAAAGAATAAGCAAGGAGGAACTCTCGCCTGGCGACGAACCAACCAACAACCTATCACACAACAAATATGCACTGGAATAAAGTGGAGATGGATTGGGCATACACTGGAAGGCCGATTGAGGACATCACCAGCCAGTTCAGGCCCTCGAGTGGAATCGAAAGGGGGAAATGACGAGTTGGTTGTGTGAGGTGAGGCTGACATGGAGGAGATGATGTGAGGAATAAATGAAAGGTTGTGGGCAGTTGTGGAGTGAGGTTCAAAAGACTGGATAGAACAGAGTGTAATGGAGACGTGCTACTGAATCCTGATGTTCCACTAAGAACCCAAGAGACAAATAATAATCATATGTTTCCTCCTTTTGGGACTAATAAGCTGGATGTGCCTGCACTACAGTGAGTGAACCAAGTATCCATCCCTTCAGATTCCAAAGTATTATCTGCTAAGCCAATAGGATAAAACTTTGCTTTCTGGATTCCACTGATAAGCCACTAAACAGACTTCAATTTAATGATTGTGTAGATGGTATCCAGGCATCCACAAAGCAGCCTATCTGTTAACAGACGTCGAGGAAGTCAACCCAGTATAGGAATAGAAAATTACAAGTATCAATCAAGAAATATACTTAGGTGATTTGAACAGCAATGTAATTGATTAAATTACCAGTTTCCCTCACAACATTCTTTGAAAGTGTTGCTTCCAACTGTTTACATTTACGTATTAAACTAACAACTTCTAATCTGGACATTTTTCGAGATTCGTTAAATTTCAAGGTGATATTCATCATGGACTGACATCATTCGGGGAACCCTTGAAAAGCTGTTTCGTCGTGCTAAGAAACTCCTCAGCAGTGCACATCAGTGACTCCATCAGGGATCGAATGCAGAATCGTTAGGTATCAAGGCCAGCACGTTAGCCATGCATCCCCTGTATCGGAATCCAATGGCTCCAGTTTTCCAACTTCTTTTAATTTTCTATATAGCGTGAAATCCATTCAATCTCATAGTTGAGTATTTGTCCATATATCCAATTGGTTGACCCTACAGGACTCAGCTTCTGGCTAGAACTTTGGGAAAGCAATCTCAAAAATCTAGAACATTGAACTTCTACCCAGTAGCTGAGAAACCCGAAGGTCTCGAGTTTAACTCCTAGCTATTCTGAGAAGTCACACACAAGGATGAAACAGCTATCCAGTACATCTTAGTTCTCAGTGGTTCTCCAATTGATTTCAGTCTATGATTACAATTATCTTTAAGGTTAAACTACAGGTGCTAATGAAGTAGCTTTAACGGTATTCAAAGATACATTTAAAATATGAACTGATAATGTAACCCTTTTTCTCTACTGTCTACATTATATAGAGTAGAAATTTTGGAGAAGAAAGAGAAAAGTTACCTGAAATGACATGTCCGCATCATTTAGTAAAATTTTTGTTACATCATCATGAGAAAGTGATATCAAGTCAAGGAAGTAATCTAATCTCAGATGAATTAAACAGGCAACAAATGGTAAGTAAAACACTTTTCTTTCTGTTTAATCCTAGGAGATAGAAAAGCATTGAAATAAGTATATAGATGTAAATAAATTGTTACACTTAATGTAGTTTTTCATAGTAAAAGAGGCAGATGATGTTAGAGACTAGTAATAGGATATTCATAATGAGATATAACAGTTAATCTACATCCACTTTCTCTTCAACACAATATTTAAATGTCTTTCAAGGATAAAGTATGAGTTACATAAGCCATTACTGAATCGTCTAATCAGTCAGTTGTAAGCCAATTGGTTACGTGTTAAAATCTCAGGTGGTTTTATTAGCCTTTACACAACAGGTGTCACTAATTAATTACAGGAATGGAATTTATCTTACCGAACAGTCGTCAAGCATTACCATTAAAAGTACAAACATTCCAAAAAGCTTTAAGTACTCCACTAGTGTCAGCTATTGTCCACTACTGTATAACGACAATATAATGTCTCTTTTATGTGGCAGATCCTCCACATAATTCCCCGAGCTAAATCATAAAGTACTAGGTAAGGATAAAGTTGAATCAAGTGTATTCACGTGATGTCCAATCCATCTCCACTTTATTCCAGTGCATATTTGTTGTATGACAGGTTCTTAGTTGGTCCGTTGCCAGAGTTACTTGTTGCGTATTCTTTCACGTCTTCTCATTTGATCTTCAGTATCGAGCGTAGGCAAGTGTTGATGAATGTCTGTAGTTTGTTGGAAATGCCTTTCGTAACGCGCCAGGTCTCTGAGCCATACAGAAGCACTGACTTGAGGTTGGTGTTGAAAATCCGCGTCTTGTTCCACATGCTGAGTGCAGAAGATCTCCACACTGGTTTTAGGCTAATGAATGCCTGTCTTGCTTTTCCGATTCTGACTTTGACATCCTCGTCGGTGCCACAGCCACATGTAGTTAAAACAGTGCTTCCTAGATAGGTGAAGAAGGTTACTTCCTTTAAGTTTCTCCCGTTGATGGTGATCGGAGCTTGTTGTTGTTGGTTGGGTATCATCATCACCTTCGTCTTCTCTACGTTCACTTGAAGTCCTGTTTTCGCTGCACTGCCTCTTCTATAAACTTGTTAGTTTTTGCCTATAGATCTTCAAGTTTGTGCGACACTAGACACAAATCATCGGCGAAATACAAATATTCTGGGATCTTTTCCCCGGTCCAGCGTACCCCCGTCTTCTCGCTCCTAACTGTTTGTTGCGGAAATACTTATTCTGAATTTATCTTTCTCGTGTCCTCATTTTCTTATTCTACTACTTGTTGACTCTCCTCGATGTGATGGTCCGAAGTGAAAGGAGGTTTCAATCAACCCACCAAAAATGCTAGATTCTATGCTGCTTATGTCAGTGCCTTTGTTGTGACTTCTTTTCTTTCTTAACTGTCTTGTGGAGCGTATCAGACTATGACTTTTCTATTGGGGCCAGTACAAACGACAACATTAAAACTATACCGGTCGAACAGTTAGTGGCTATTGTGACTCGGTGGCCTAGTGAATAACGCTGTGGCGTTTGTAGTGATCGGTCCCTACTTCGAGTCTCAGTGGGAACATCACTCACTGGGAGGAAGGTACATTCAGCTGACGAGTACCAAATAGGACAAAACGCGCGTACTGAAATCCATGACTGGCCACTACTCATCATTAATATAAAATTGAAACACAAGCAATATCATGACATTCGCACAGGAGCCCATGTGCCAATAGAAACCAATCAATTTGGTCCAATCAGTGATGGGATGATCCAAGTAACAACACTAAAGTAACTTATTATCTTACAACCAACTGTATAATACGGTTACTTTACAACATTCAGTCTGAAGTCTACACAGTACTTTGGTACAGCATGAATGATGTAGTGAGTTTTCTTGCGTATCTACATAGATTGACAATTGGTTAAACTTTATCTAAGTATGCTTATAAGGTTTAATTTTGGCCTAAGTTCGGTATCTGAGTAACCGGTAAATGTTCTCAAGTTAAACCCTTCTAAATGTCAAACTATTAGTTTTAGCCTTAGACTTATATGGGCTGCTTAAGTCTCATGAAGCCTGTTACATTGATGATATTTACGCAGAAAGTAAGTGGAGTATTAAATATCTTGAATTGAGTTTTTTAATTCCTTTCATGTCTTATTGACTTGTGAAAAAATCTTTCACTTAACGTATAACATAAAGAAACTGAGACTGTCTGGTGTAACCCAACTTCTATTTTTACCATTTATTAATTCTTGCATTTATCTATTCTTCTCTATTGTTCCCCGTTGATCTTTACAGTCTACTAAGAAAGGACTATGTTGTATTACGCAGGGCTTTGAAAACCATTAGTAGGGTTAGCGGTGTACCTCTGGCCAAACTGATTTACACTGTGGTTGATAGACATTTAAATTCTAGCAAACAACTAGTGACAACAATTTTAACTGCCAATGAGTATTCACTTCATTCACATCTCTCTCCTTATATCTCCTCTCAGGGGGATGGAGGATAAGAATGAACTACATAAGAATGTACGCTCGTACAGCCAAGTTTATATAATAACACAAATGAAAATGTCTTAAAGGCGTATATACATACACGTATACTTTATTGTCGTTGTTGCAATATACCATGCTGAGAATTCCAAATTGTACCATAAATTATTTGTAATAAAGTGAATCTTTATTTCAAGTTGTTATTCATCGAAGACTGACATCAATTGGAGGAACAAAGGAAACCTGGGAGCACTGGACGGCTGTTTCGTCCTAGTATGGGACTCCTCAGCAGTGCGCATCCACGACCCCACCTCCAGGGATCGAACCCGCGACCTTCAGGTCCCGCAGCCAGCGCGTTACCATTGAGCTAGCCACTGGGTCACAATCCACTGCTCCATATTTCCAACTTCTGTTAGCTCACGATATAGCGCGAACCGCCACCCAATGTCATCGTTGAGTATTTGTCCTCACGGCCATCAGGCTTGACTCCACCGGTCACGACTTGTCATTGGAACTTCGGGAATACTTCTCGAAGCTAGTCACTAATGAGCACCAGTTCAATTAAAATTTTTGCTCATTGGTGACTAGCTTCGAGAAGTATTCCCGAAGTTCCAATGATAAGTCGTGACCGGTGGAGTCAAAGTCTGATGGCCGTGAGGACAGATACTCAACGATGACATTGGGTGGCGGTTTGCGCTATATCGTGAGCTAACAGAAGTTGGAAATATGGAGCAGTGGATTGTGACCCAGTGGCTAGCTCAATGGTAACGCGCTGGTCGCGGAACCTGAAGGTCGCGGGTTCGATCCCTGCTGGTGGGGTGGTGGGTGCGCACTGCTGACGGGACAGCTGTCCAGTGCTCCCAAGTTTCCTTTGTTCCTCTAATTGATGTCAGTCTTCGATGAATAACAACTTGAAATATTTCCAAATCTCCACAACCCCCTCAAAATTTAATTGAATCTTTATTATTATTACTAACATGATTATTACCATTCACAGCATCTACGATTCTTTCTAATAACATATGGTCCTGAGTGTTATTGTGTTGATGTAATGCGCTATCACATAAGACAGAAAGTTATAATTACTCTTTCAGTTACTTCTGTTAAACTAGCACACCACACATCATACAAGTGATGTTGCTACCTCTACAATGATCACTCCTAATTACAATGCTATGCGTGCTGATAAAGGCTGCAGTACCAATACTGTCTAACCACATTTCATTAAAACAAAGTCTGTTAACAAATTAGTGACCTCAACCAGATTATCACAAAATTTCAAATCTGATAAACATCGTAATTAGGTAATAGGTATTCAGAGATAAGGCGATTGAAACAAACTTCTTCAGTTTCTACTTGATTTAACCCTTCCTAAAATGTCCAGAGCGAAATGGACAGCTGTTTTCCAGGTTTTAGTATACATGGTGTATGTAAATGTCTAAAATCCTTGAATCCCCCTCAAAGCTCAGGTTCTGATGGTGTTTCTATTGTTATATTTAGAAAATGTTCAGATATTTTATGTCATCCCCTTACAGATATCTTCAATGCATCGCTTTCTAAAAACATAATACCCACTACTTTGAAGAAGATCAAGATTGTACCTGTGTCTAAGTCATCTGGATCAGATGTTACATTCCAACCCATTACAATAACTTCCTCTTTTCTGAAGACAATGAAGAAATTACTTCTCCTTGTGATTGAGCCTTCATTGATGGTTTTCAGAGATCCGAAACAGTTTGCTTACAGACATAAGAGAAGTACTTTAGATACTGCCACTGTCTTGCACCATAATATTGTATCTAGTCTCGACAAAGATGTTGAGTATGTTCATTGGGCCTTTTTGGATTACTCATCAGCCTTTGACTCTATTCCTAGACCACTCTTGTTAAATAAGCTTTCTATGGCTCAGTATGGATTCTTGTTTGTAACTGGCTAATGTTCTCTCTCAAACGGTCTCAAGTTAAATCCTTGTAAGTGTCAGACTGTTAATCTTAGCCTCAGGCGTAGACAAGACTTATGTGAGCTGCTTAAATCTCATTACACCTGTTACATTGATAGTATTTCTGAAGAAAGTAAATCCACTGTTAACTATGTTGGGTTGAGTTTTACTTCTGACCTTTTTTGGTCATCTCATATCTTGTTCACTTTTTAAAAAAATCTTTCGTTTAACTTATTACATAGGGAAACTGAAGCTGTGTGGTATAACTTAACTTCTACTTTTACACTTTATCAATTCTTACATTTTACCTATTCTTCTATATTGTTCCCCATTGATCTTTCCTGATAATTTAAAAAAAGACTATGTTATGTTGTGTAGGTGTTTGGAAGCCATTCGCGAGTAGGGTAAGTGGTGTGCCACTGGCTAAGGTGATTAACACTGTAGTTGGTAGACATTTAAATTCAAGCAAACAATTAGCTATAGTCCTTTTAACTGACATTGAGCATCTATTTCATCATTCACAGCTCTCCCTATGTATCTCATCACAGAGGACAAGAAGAAACTACATAAGACTGTAGGCTCGTACAGCCAAGTTTATATAATAACATAAATGAAAATGTCTTAAAGGCGTATATACATATACGTATACTTTATTGTCGTTGTTGCAATATATCATGCTGAGAATTCCAAATTTTACCACGAATTGTTTGTTTGAATAACAATAATTATTATTATCAAAAAAAAGCCCAAATTGAACTTTTGTAACTGACTACCATCATATATGCAATAAGTGGAGATATTATTCTAATCTTTGTAAATTTTAATAAACCAAATATCAACTAACAAAAGTCCCTTTTTATTCTACCTAGTTACTAGCTTTTGAAGCAATGGTACATCAAAATTTTATTGATGAACAACGTAATCAAGTTAGATGGCAATCAAAATTAGGTGCAACTTCATTATCATTTGAAGAACATATGAAAATACTTGAAACTCGTCAATTAGCTTGGAATAGATACAATGTACGTTGAGATTTTATTCATTTGATCTTATGAATTAATTTGGACTCATATAAGTATTATTTATTAACATGATCACTAGAAAAGTATGAAATATGTGGAAAGTTGAACAAATAACTCAAGAAAAACATTTCCAACAAACGACAGATATTCGTTGACAGTTGCCTACACTTGTTGCTGAAGATCAGATGAGATGGTGAGAAAGAATAAGCAAGGAGGAACTCGGGACTGGCAACGAACTAACCAACAACCTATCACACAACAAATATGCACTGGAATAAAGTGGAGATGGATTGGGCATACACTGAGAAGGCCGATTGGGGACATCACGAACCAGTTCAGGCCGTTGAGTGGAATCGAAAGGGGAAATGACGAGTTGGGTGTGTGAGGTGAGGGTGACATGGAGGAGATGATGTGAGGAATAAATGAAAGGTTGTGGGCATTTGTGGAGCTAGGTTCAAAAGACTGGATAGAACAGAGTGTAATGGAGACGTGCTACTGAATCCCTTTGTTCCACTATGAATTCAAGAGAAAAATAAATATTAATAATATACTGATGAAGATATAAAGTATGAAGAAGAACGTGCAATTCAAAGACGGGATACTTCTCGACAATTTCATCCTCGATGCTGTACAATTGTAAATTTATGTTTATTGAGAATGCCTCTGTAATAAAGGATGAATTGTTAACATCCAAGCTGGGACTAAAAAATGCTCTGGATTCAAAATTACCACCGGAAGAGGCTGGCTACCAGGCTTCAAGAAGAACAAATCATGTGATCATCAAATTTCAACGCTACGATACGCATCATCATACAACAGATCATACAATGGCAGTTAACTCTCCACCTCAAATTCATCGGCTTCGAAAAGGCCTTCGATCGAGGCGTCGACCGACAAGTAATTTGGCAGTTGCTTCGACACTACGGTTTCAGTGACACAAATCTTTATCAACCTTATTCAACAGATATAAGAAGACACCAAGTGCAAAGTGATTCACAATGTGAAGCTTAGTGACAGATTTGAAGTAGAGACAGGAGTGATACAAGGCTGCCATCTACTATCACTCATGATCTTCCTGATTGTCGTTGACTGGACTGGATGACGCAACAAACAGTGAGGAGCAGTGAGAAGAGGAGCATACGCTGAACCGGGGGAAAGATCCCAGAAGATTTTGATCTCACCGATCAATTGTGTCTAATGTCTCACAAACTGGAAGATGTGCAGGCGAAAACTAAGAAGTTGACATAGGAGGCAGGGCAGGGTAGCGAAGACTGGACTTCAAGTGAATGTAGAGAAGACAGAGGTGATGAAGATACCATCCAACCAACACCACCACCAAGAAGATGAAGCTGCAATCACCATAAGTGGGAGGAGCCTAAAGGAAGTAGTCTCTTTCACACACCTATCTAGGCAGCATCGTTTCGACTACAGGCGGCGTAGACACAGATGAGGATGTCAAAGCCAGAATCGGAAAGATAGTAATACAGGCCTTCATGAATGTGAAATGAGTGTGGAGATCTACCACACTCAGCATAAAGCGTGAACAAGGTCCGGATTTTTAACACGAATTCAGTCAAGTCAGTGCTTGTTTGTGATGGTTGAGAGACTTGGCGCGTCACGAAAAACATTTCCAATAAACTACAGATATTCATCAACAACTGCCTACACTCGTTGCTGAAGATTAGATGAGAAGACGAGAAAGAATAAGCAAGGAGGAACTCGGGACTGGCAACGAACCAACGAACAACTTATCACACAACAAATATGCACTGGAATAAAGTGGAGATGGATTAGGTATACACTGGAAGGCCGATTGAGGACATCACCAGCCAGTTCAGGCCCTCGAGTGGAATCGAAAGGGGGAAATGACGAGTTGGTTGTGTGAGGTGAGGCTGACATGGAGGAGATGATGTGAGGAATTAAAGCTTGTGGGCAGATGTGGAGTGAGGTTCAAAAGACTGGATAGAACAGAGTGTACTGGAGACGTGCTACTGAAGCCCTATGTTCCACCAGGAACCAAAGGAATAATAATAACAATTTAATGGTTCTTATCATATTTCAAACTGTGATGTATACTACTATTAAATTATAAATCCTTGACCAATAATCTTCAAAAGTGTTAAGATTACACAGAACATCAGAAGTAAGAAAATGTGAACCACTGGCGTTCACCTCAGTGACTAAATGGTTGATGTGTTTGGTTCCTGGCTATGTCCATTGGTGTTCTCCACTAAGAAGTCCCGTACTTAGATGAATCAGTGGTTCAGTTGTTGGATGTTTTCAATGATTCTTCAAATAATTTCATTCCATGATAAATACTTCCTTGAAATTTGAAGGAGAGCTGTTCATCTTCTATTTTAAATTATCTAAGTTTTTATTTTATTTTCGACAGTCACAGTTAAATTCAAGGCAGTTGATAGTCTATATTTGAGAATACAAAGAATAAGTTGTTCGCTATACTCTAGTTCGAAGTAAAATTGTCATTTACACTATAAGCATTAATTGGCTACTTCTCAACTATTCAGTTCATTTAGTTTGGAGAGGTTTTATTAGTTTACCATGTATAGAGTTACCTTGAACTCGCACTAAAATGTAGCAACTGAAAGTGGAAAGGTAGAAAGTTTTAGTTTTAGTGTTGTTGCATGTATTAACCTGTCGTTGATTGGACTGAATTGATCAGTCTCTGTTGGCAATATAGGCTCCTATGTGAATATCTCGTTATTGTCTGTGTTTCAATTATATATTAATGATGAATAGTGTCTAGCAGCGGAATCAAGTACGCGCATTTCGTCCTATTTGGAAATACCTGCCTTCCAATGAGTGATGTTGTTCTCGCTAGAACTCGAAGTCGAGACTGACCACTTTAAATGCTACAGCGTTATTTGCTAGGTCACCAAACCACAATAGCCACTACTAAAAACTAAACCTATCGTACAAGAAGTGGCTTTGCGGCTCACTGGTCTAGTAGATACCACTCTGGCATTTGAAGTGATCGCCCCCGAGACTGGGTCCAGGTGAGAATAACACTGACAGAGAAGGGGGGAAGTAAATCCACCTGACAAGTCAGAACTAGGATGAAATATGAGTCCAGGATTCCATTGTTAGCCCCTACCAATCATAAATAAATACTTTATTAATTATAGTTGGTAATAACAATAATAGAATTTTGAGGGAGTTATGGAGATTTGGAAATATTTCAAGCTGTTATTCATCGTAGACTGACATCAGTTGGAGGAATAAAGGAAACCTGGGAGCCAGTGGCCAGTGGCTTAATGGTAACGCGCTGGCCACGGAACCTCAAGGTCGCGGGTTCGATCTATGGCGGGGTCGTGGGTGCGCACTTCTGAGGAGTCCCATACTAGGACGAAACAACTCCCCAATGCTTCCAGGTTTGCTTTGTTCCTCCAACTGATGTCAGTCTACGATGAATAACAACTTGAAATAATAATAATAGTTGCAAACGTTTTTGGGATGAATGAATGGGAAGTTGATTTTGACAGATATGCGATATAGATAGCTAGGGAAAAGAAAGAGGCTGCACGAATTTTCTTCTGAACACACAGACTCATCTTGTTCAGATGGATTCCAATGGCTTTAGTTGTATGTAAAAGACAAACTCTTTAGAGTATGGGTAAGATCAGGAGGAATGTAATCAAAAACTTTAAAAGCGTTTGGAATATTAATTAGGTGACCAATGTTAACCAGATGAGACAGTATTGAGCTCCCCGTTGATATTGTTTTCATTTTATTTGACTATGACAGGTGATATTCAACGATGTACTTGCCGAACCGTATGCCTATTGTAACCAGCCCCATAGGAGCAATTGAACCGGTAAATACAAATAGAAAAGGCGAAGTTACGCAGTCTGTCTTTGATTCGCAGGGTCATCATCGGCCGACTGGATAATACATAGCATAAAGTTTCTGCATTTAAGGATCTTATAGAATTCTTTAGGCGTTGTGTCACACTTTCGCTGATGATGTCATCTCGGAATTGTAGTCTTAAGAACAAGGATTTCTTCAAGGTCATAGGTACTCTGGCTTTTATACCATATATGTTTATATTTTTAACTAAAAACATTTCTGAATATCCATTACTACTAAATAGATCATGGATAATGTGAACTTCTTTATCGAAATTATCACCTAAACAGATAAATCTTGACCGAACAACCAAATATTAAACTAGATTTCATTTACACTACAAGGGAACGGAACCCCCAGAAATGAGTGTATTGACCAATCGAAATTGGTTTCCGATATGCACCTCCCTTTATAGTTCTATCCATCTTCCTAACCAATCAGACATCTAATGGAGGTGGTGTTATCGTCACTCTCAAGTGTGAAGGTTATGGCTGGATGGACTCCATTTAACTTATCCGGTATAATACTGGCATCCTCTTCCTCCAGAATTATTAATGTATAATCCATAAGACGGCAGTAAAATTCTAACTCGTTTTTATGCTTTTCAGAGGGCCATTTTATAGTTTTGCTAGTAAAATTCCGCTAAGACCTGACCTAGTGATAAGCCCATAACCACCTGACTGTCTGTAGAATTCTTTGTTGAAGAGGGAGCATACAACATTTATAAGTCTAGTAGCAAGTCAGTGAAATAACTATCAAATACTTTGGTCACACTGATCTTAATAGTAGAGCCTGTAGTTTATCACAAGTACACTTTAGTTGGTAACATTCTGAACTAGCGAAGGCACGATAAAGATTCGAAACTATTGTGTCACCTTGACATTTAAAACACTGGTATTTGAAGAACATTTGGTTCATACTATGAATTTCAGTTGGAGTTATTCCTGACCTCATTATCAAGCTGTACAGTCGTATTTATACTCAGTAAAGTGACAGGTAATTGCACTAAAAAGAGATTTGGTCACTCAATATGCAAAATATACAATCGGTGGATGGGTGGTGGTATTTGTTCAAGTGGAAGAGATAGAAAATGGGTCACTGAATAGGGAGGATCGAATTGATAACAAGTGGTGAGATAAGCGACAAGTGTTGTAAAACGGTGATAATTGAGCTGAAACGTGTACAATAGGTCAATGATTAAGGAATGAATTGAAATATAGTTCAAGTGTAGTCAATGACGTGAAAATTGGTGATAATGATGATGGTGAGAATAAAAGAGAAGTATACCAAAGTGAACTGAAATTGACAAAATCAACAAAATGAATTGTTAAGGCCAAGGTGGAGAAAGTAGCTTCACAAAATGTTTCTCAGTGCAAAGTTTCGGTTTTTGTTCATGTATAGTTAATCCATTCAGCTATGCATAAGTGGTGGAAACGTAAACCTTTGGAGTAGTTCAATTTAACTTTGTAAGTTATTTTAAAGGATGAATCTTGAGACGTTGAATGTCCCAATTCAACAAGGTGTTCACATATGAATGAAGTCGTTTTCCTTGGCTCACCTCTGATAAGCCAAACTGGGTAATATTCAGCTACACGTTTTCACAGGGCCTGCTTACAACATCCAATATAGTCAGCTCCACAGGAGCATGTGAACTTGCAGATACACATAGATGTGGACATACGTGGTAGCCTATCCTTCACGCATTGAGGAATCAGTCGATTTTTCAGCACTTCAGCTGTAGTGTCTCCTTTGAATTCTAGATTCATGGTTAAAATTTTCTTAGGGACTGTAATGCGATGGGGAGTGGTTCGTTTCTTCAGATTCTTATCAATAAATCTCTTAGGGTGTGCGTTATTAAACAGTTTCATTTTAAGAGTTTCGATTTCAGCATCCACCGTATCTTCTGAACATATTTGATAGATTCTGGAACACAGTGAGTGAATGAGATTTCTCTTACAACCAAGAGGTACCCAATTATAATAATGGTAATAAAGTCATTGAAAAGAAATATTTCTTCTCTGATACATGCCTTGTTCTTGTTAATGAATAAGTGGGTATATTTCGTCAGTTATTCCTCACCTCCGAATAATATTTATGAGTAACACTAATATGTTTTGGGAACAACATAATTACAAGTTGTTATTCATCGAAGACTGACATCAGTTGGAGGAACAAAGGTCACTGGTCAGAATCCACTGCTCCATATTTCCAACTTCTGTTAGCTCACGATATAGCGCAAACCGCCACCCAATGTCATCTTTGAGTATCTGTCCTCACGGCCATCAGGCTTTGACTCCACCGGTCACGACTTATCACTGGAACTTCGGGAATACTTCTCGAAGCTAGTCACCAATGAGCAAAAAATTTAATTGAACTGGTGCTCATTAGTGACTAGCTTCGAGAAGTATTCCCGAAGTTCCAATGATAAGTCGTGACCGGTGGAGTCAAAGCCTGATGGCCGTGAGGACAGATACTCAAAGATGACATTGGGTGGCGGTTCGCGCTATATCGTGAGCTAACAGAAGTTGGAAATGTGGAGCATTGGATTCTGACCCAGTGGCTCAATGGTAACGCGCTGGCTGCGGGACCTGAAGGTCGCGGGTTTGACCCCTGCTGGTGGGGTGGTGGGTGCGCACTGCTGACGAGTCCCATACTAGGACGAAACAGCTGTCCAGTGCTCCCAGGTTCCCTTTGTTCCTCCAACTGATGTCAGTCTTCGATGAATAACAACTTGAAATATTTCCAAATCTCCACAACTCCCTCAAAAACAATATAAATATTTTTTTTTGGTTTTGTCCTCTTTTATGCGCTAGGCAGCATGTACACATCCAGAAGTTCTAGAAAATTCCACCGACCCGTTATCACTATCTCCATCTATGAATTTAATATCAAACAGAATTAATCAATTACTATATGAATTTCGTCCATATCGTCCAGTGGATCCATTTGTCAAGTTGAAAAAATTAAAAACAACCTTATCAATATTCAATGAACCAAAATTTCATCTAGTTGAATTTAGTAAAGCAAAATGGTTGTATAAATGTGATATAATTGAAAAGTTTCGTTCAATAGTTTCAAGTATAATCATTAAACAAAGAATGATTAAACGATTAAAGAAATTAAAACAATTCACATTATCAACTGATGAGGATAAAGACTCAGGTATAAATTTATTGTTATTCAATTTTAGTTTAATATACTACTAATTTATAATCAGTACACTATTTATCAAGAATTTGTAAAAAAATTTTGATTGTTTACATTTCATATCCTGTAGATTTGAGTTCATTTACCTCATACATAGGTTGCATTTCCTCTCAGAAATACCTAACCCTAAACTGAGTTGAATTATCACCTTATAAGTAAGTTTTAATATAATCTCAGAGTATAGTAATGATGCTCAGCGGCTAGCAATGGAATGCAGGATGCGCATTTCTTCCTATTTGGGACTCGTCACCTAGATATACCTGCCTCCCAGTGAGTGACGTCGTTCCCACCGGGACTCAGGAGCGATCGCTTCAAACGTGAGAGCGTTATCTACTATACCATCGAGCCACAAGAGCCACTTTTTGTGCGATGCGTATAGTTTTAGTGGCTCGGTGGTGTAGTGGATAACGCTCTAGCGTTTGAAGCAATCGCTCCTGGGTCCCGCTGCGAACAACATCACTCACTGGGAGGTAGGTACATCTAGGTGACGAATACCAAGTAGGACGAAAGGCGCATCCTGCATTCGACTGCTAGTCACTGCCCATCATTACTATACATAATTGAAATACAGGCAATATCGAGGCATTCGCACAGGAGCCCATATGCCAACACAGACTTATCAATTCAGTCCAATCAACGACGGTGTAATACAAGCAATAACACTATAATCCTAGAGTGTTAACAAAATTAAAAAAACTGAATTATGCTTATAGTTAAGGTAGGTTTATATGAAAATGGCACTCTAGCCATGCACATACCATTAAGATGAAAGGGAACAAGATGATGCACAGAGAAATGGAAAGAAAATGTAATCAAAAGTTATAGGAAGAGAAAAAGAGAGAGTAGAGCAATCAGGAAATATGACACTAAGATTAGTATGAGTTCTACGTCTATACATCTACGCAACTGAAATTGATTCTGAGCCATATTACCACTATTTTTGGTTGTCGTACGAATGCCAACCAGAACGGCCAAGACTTTTCTACACGTCGCAGACTAATAATCAGAGACTGCCTCAATTGATCCCACATTCACAGCATATAAATGCTTATCTGTATTCAGTAACCAATTGAAGCATATTTGTAGTGTTGAAAAAGATATATTGGATTTCTATGTTGAAAAAAGTATAACAGAAATTTCATTAAGAAACTTAAATGCCTGGCTGAATGTATGGAATCAATGATGAATCCATAAGACTGCAAGCGGAATACTAAGTAAATTAATATAACATCCGCTGAAGCAATTTTCCACAGCCTAGGAGTAAAGTAGTGTTTGCTGATCGAAAATGTGGTTCTATTCTATGAAGTTACGGAGTTTTGGTCAAAACCTTTAGGTTTGCGTGTACAAAGTGTTCGGCTTGGTGTTATCAAGATATTAGGCATCAGTCACTACAGATCCCAGATGAAATGATTCACAATTGATCACAGTGGTGTAGATGCTTTCGTCTCATTTTCTGCAGATTTAAGACCTTTTCTTAATCCTTTAATGATTAGTTGGTCTGTCCATATCTGTCTCATTTTTGTTAACTCTAACATCGCTGATCTGTTGACCAAGAAATAATTTGGCAGCTGCTTCAACATCACACTTTTAGTGCCACAAACCCTTATCAACCTCATTCAACAGCAGCTATATGATAGTGTTGCAAGCCAAGTGATCCGCAGTGGAAAGCTCAGCTCAGTGATGCGTTTGAAGTGAAGACAGGTTGACAGGTAAAACAAGGTTGCCCCCTACTATCACCGATGATCTTCTCGATTATGGTCTAACAGACTGGACTGGACTGGATCACGCGACAAACTGTGAGGAGCTGTGAGAAGATGGGCATGCGCTGTTTGACCGATGAAAAGACCCTGGAAAATTTGGATTTTGCCCATGATGATTTATGTCTAATATCTTATGTTACACAAACTCGAAGATCCACAGGCGAGAACCAACAAACTGGCAGAAGAAACACGGCATTGAAGACTGCGCTTCCTTCATGTGAACGTAGAGAAGATAGGTTTGATGAAGATACCCAACCAACAACAACAACAAGCATCAGTCACCTTGAACGGAAGAAATCTAAAGGAAGTAGTCTCTTTCACCTACCTACCTAGGTAGTATCGTCTCAACTACAGGTGACGGCGGCGGTACAGATGAGGATGTCAAAGCCAGGATCGGAAAGACAGTAAGACATTCCATCCTTCATTAATCTGTGGAGATCAGTGTGAAGATCTACTGCCCTGCACTGAATTCTGCATAAAGAAGAATATCTGGATTTCTAACACTAAACTATCCAAGTCAGTGCTTTTATGTGATGACCGTTGAAGGACTTGGAGCGTTACGGAAAGCATTTCCTTCCAACAAACTACACATATACATATACAGCTGCTGCCTACCCTCGATACTGAAGATCAGATCTTATGGTCAGAAAGAATAAGCAAACCGTCTTCTCAGTGTATGCCCAATCCATCTCCACTTTATTCCAGTGCATATTTGTTGAGCAATAGTTTCTTGCTTCGGTAGTTGGTTCGTTGCCAGTCCAGAATTCCTTCTTGTTTATTCTTTCTCGCCTTCTCATCTTATCTGACCTTCAGTATGGAGCTAGAGTAGGAGACAGCTGTACAATTATGTCTACAGTTCGTTGGAAATGCTTTTTGTAATACACCAAGTCTCTCAACCATCATAAGGAAGCATTGATTAGTTGAATGGAGCCGAAGATAAGATAAACTTCACACTTAGGTTTTAAACTGCCCAATCAAGTAGTTAATGCTTTAATGCTGAAATTTCAAGTATAGTTTCTCAAACATAATACCACCTATCACTAATGAGTATTCGTATCTGTAAGGAAAGTAATAATGCCTTACAAATTCAATGCCTGTGTTTTTGGACTTATCGGTATACGCTTACAGATAATACCTCGTCATTTGTAGAGCTGCAAATGTATACAAGAATTAATCACTGTATTTTGATAGCTATACTGATTAAAGCTTGTGTCCATGAATGCTCAGTGACTTCAATGAGGATTATACGACTCGATAATAGAATCATTCACCATTGAATAATCGGTTCATGCAAATAGATTTGTTATATTTACGAGATTTTCTTGATTATTACTATTCATAACTGCAGCATCGAACCAGTCAACTGAAGAAAAGTATGCTTACAATTCTGGACGATCAATTCCTTCACTTTCATTAAATAACTGCGGTAGTAAACTACTTCATCAATATGTATGGTTTCAGCGTAATCTACTTACAGATGAAAAGATGATGTTATCAAATCTAACAGGGACATTACCAACAAACAATCGCATTAGTAGTAATATTCAAACATCATGTATACAACCCATACCATGTACATTTAATTATAATCAGTTGATGAGTAGTTTCACAACACCTCAACAATATTGGCCTATATTTGATGTACCCGTATCAGCATTACACTATGAATTGAAGTATACGGACAAGTTTGAATTAAACACCGCTATGGATTATGCTAAACTAATACCAATGGAAATTAATTATAGGGAATTATTACCTTTGAAACAACAACAGCACCATCACCGACAACAAGAACGACCACAGGATCAAATGTTAACAAATCCAATGGTATGTTGATTATATCAACGATGTTTACCAATTTTGTCTAGTTAGTGTCTATGTGAGTAGATTTTTGTGAAAAATCCACGGTCTCATAAAAAGTATTTAGCCCCTAGTATGCCGTTCAATCATGCTTAGTTCTTGTTAAAATAGAACTGGTAGGTGAAATATGAGAAGTCAGTTGACAGGAGGAACTCTACCTGGATTTCACACTTATTGGAACTTACCAGTGACACAGATTTTTAATTTTCATAGATCGCAGTCTAAGGTATTCACTTATAATATTGGACAATTCACCAGGAAACGATTCTGGTTCGGATTGGAATATTAACGGGGAATGAGAATCTTGGTAACGTAATTAGAAGACGAAGTTTATCTGAACAATGTTAGTGATGTTTTTTGCGCAATACATTTCGATCAATCTGATCATACATTTACTTGTCGAGTCAATTTATATTAGTCTGAATAGTGCGAGGACAAATGCAACAATTAAGATAAGCAGGGAATTAAAATTTAGAAAGGTGAGAACAAATAGATAGAAAATGAACAAGGAGAATTACCTATGTTGGATTGCAGAATAAAACGAAGAACAGACGGTGGCTGGATACTACCCACTGTTTACAGAAAACCAACACATTCCAACAGGTATCTAGACTTTAAATCATCCCATCCAATGTCAGTTAAGGCAGGATTAGTCAGATGTCTAAATGATAGAGCTAGAAAACTGACTGGTCGGAGCAAGAACCTAAACAAGGAATTAAAACACGTAAGGGTAGCGCTAATAGTTAATAATCACCCTTCGCAGTTTATAAAGAAATTCTTACGGACACACAAAAAACGAAAAAATAACAGTCACACAAGTGTGACTAATAACGACAACACGAGTAAAAAGGAGTTCACAGCCTCCGTTGTATTACCCTATAAGGAGGCTACCTTAGAAACTTTACGTAGAATCCTCAACAGAGCCACAAACTTACTCAGAGATAAACTTTGTCGGCTGACTTAAGGATCCGACAGAACCAATTAAGCAAAATAATATAACCTATCAAATTCGATGTAATGACTGTGAGGTCAAGTATGTAGGTCAAACTAGTCGGCCGTTGTCAGTTAGAATAGCCAAACATAGGAATTTAGCTAAATATAGAATAACAGACCTAAATGAGATGAATAATCTCGAAAAAAACTCGGCTATTGCTATGCATGCATTAACACACAACCATACATTAGGGTGGGATAACCCCACTGTCCTTAAGTCCAATGTAATTAGGTGGAGAAAGAGATTGATTACTGAATCGAATCAACACACAATACATGTAACAGAGATGATGCAACACCTATACCAGAGATATGGAAAATTTTGCTACCAATAAAAACTACTCATGTGAGGTGACATAACTACAAAGATCAAATGTCGACAATTATGTGATTACATTGATATGATTATGAGTGACGATAATTTATGCTTGAAACGTCATCAAGTAAATAATACTAGATCACTGTGTGTCATAAATCAAATAAACAAATCTAATACTAAGCAATGTAGTTGATCCTAATCTTGGTAAGAAAAGAAACTTTACTAAGGTAGGTGTAGTGGAAGAACAAATTGTTTTTGTACATATAAAGGTGGTTTCAATTTGTGTATGGCTGTCGCTTCCATAAATCCCAGTATACGTCCTCGACTGTTTCTGTTTATAACTTTGGAAGCTGTTTGAACATTAATTTTGTGACCTGTTTCTATGATATGTTCAGCTATAGATGAAGACGGTCGTCTTCCACCAGCGTTTATCATAGTTTCACACTCCATTTGTTTTTGAAACCATTTGAGTACGTGTCCTCCCACCGTCAACTGTATGACTCGATTACTCTTCCCTATGTATGTGTGACCACACACACATGTAAATTGGTAAACACAGTTGGATGTGACATAATCACTGATGCAGTGTTTAGGTTTCTGGTGAAGCATGTTTTGTTTTTCCCACAGTGATAAGATTAGCTGCATAATGTGTTATCTTAATGGCAGATGTTAGCCTACGTCTCAAAATGATACTATTCAACTTCCCTCTGTATGGCAAAGTGATATAAGCGATTTTCTTGGGAACTATGTACAGAGTTGACTTCAGTGCTACCTGACCTCTACAACGGTTTATAAACTTTAGAGGATATCCGTTTTCCATAAGGGTTTTAGACAGGAAATGAGATTCATCAAACTTATTCCTAAGTCTTGCTAGTTAACTTTCTGAGTTACGAAACCAAAGTCTAACAGAACTTCGTGACCGTCGACTTCGAAAACCTAACACCAGGGACAGCATAGTTCAACCTTATTTTACCTAGGTACATTTTAAACTTTTCTGATAAACCAGAGCTTCATACTTAACAACTACATCAATTGCCATTTTATTGTTTACTTATACTTGTAATTTCCCGTTGTTATTTTGCATAGTACTGACATATGGGCTCCTATAAAGAGGCCTAGATATAAGCAATAATAATTGAAATTCGTTGCACAGGAGATACGATAGCTGCTAAGTTTCAATCTCGGTGGAGACAACATCATTCACTGGGGTGCAGACAAATTTAGCTGACAAGTCCCAAGTAGGCTGAAACTTTCGTCCTTGTATTCCACTGCTAGCTATCACCAAGCAGACTGCAACAACCATCCTGTATTGGTCAGTTCGCTTATCAAAAACATTAGAGAATGATAGTATTGAGAAGATAGATACACTACTCAGCTGTGAGAAACGTCAACGTAGACCATGAAGCTTGGTTGGGCATTGATCATGGTATTTAAGGTGTTCTGTTTCATCCAGGTCAGCCAACCAGGTTCAGTTTATCTCCTTACTTTCTCTTTGCGTTTGATTATATAGGTTTCCTTAAGGAGTTTAGCTCAATTCTGCGTACCGACAATTTGCTGCAGTCATCATGCGAGCAACATTGAAGTCAGGTGAAGAGTACTAGGCAACGAGAATGTGAACTTTCAGAAACTAAAGTTACTCAGACATGTGCTTCGAATGTCGAGCCATCTCCTACTTGGACGTCCAGTACTGGTAGAAATAAAATTAGGTTGAAGTAGTGCTCAGAGCAGCCAGGCCAAAAAATGACGCCAGTCGATGAAGCCTTTGACTATTAGTTTGAGCTATGCATGGAGGTGTAATCTATCTGGTTGGAGTTGCCGAGACGATAAGAATAAGTAGTTGTGAACTCCTGGTGAAATGTATGGAAGTTAGTTACAGTGGCGTAGATACCTTCACTCTTCGACATATTCTTAAGCCTGAATGTTTTGAATAAACCTATTTTTTTAATTTTCTTTACTCCTATACACCTTCATCTACTTTGATGTCAGTCTTTTCCAATCCATTTGTACTTTGACTGCTTCTGTGAATTATGATGACTTGAACAGATACACTTAAATGCGAAGTTCCACGCTAATTTCGTCTCTTGTTTGACAATACCAAATGTTATATACCTTAGACTAGATCTGTCTAACTACTAATCAAAATTTTCGATTTATCAAGTCCAAGAAGGAGATTATCGAGAACAAATTGTTCAAATTAATATTTTTTGTTCTGAATACTACAACCTTTTGTTTTTAGATGCCTATATCTTCAAAATTATTTGATGACAATAAAACACCAGAGAGTAGAATATCAACTTCAACTAAAAATCCTGTTAACTCAGCAATCAGTTTACCGAAATCTCTACATTCACTACCAAAGTCAAACGTATATACTGACAATTATTTATATGTAAGTTTTATTATTATTTATTATTATTATTGTTTTTCCCTTGGGTTCCTAGTGGAACATAGGGCTTCCGTAGCAAGCCTCCATTCCACTCTCTTCTCTGTAGTCTTCTCAACCTCCCTCCACCACTACCCACAAGCTTTCATTTATTCCTTACACGATCTCTTCCATGTTACCCTCGCCTAGGACGCCCAACTCATCGTTTCCCATCTGGGTCCCACTCGAGCACCTGGCACGTGATGTCCCCAATCGGCATTCTCAGTGTATACCAATTCAATCCATCTCCACTTCCTTCCAGTGCATATGCTTTGGGCGATAGGTCCTTCTTCGTTGGTTCATCCCCAGATTTCCTTGTTGGTTATTCTTTCTGGCCAACTGATCTTCATTATCGAGCCAGCGTAGGCGGCGGCTGTTGATGAATATCTGAAGTTTGTTGAAAATCCCTTTTGTAACGCGCCAAGTCTCTGAGCCATATAGAAGCAGTGACTTGCAGGTTTCTCTCCACATAGCTTTTAAAGAGCTCCAGTGCTCATCTACACAGGTTTCTATAGGGATGCTGCTCGATATCTCCCATTTTGTCTTGATGGCTGACGTGAAGATTTTCTTTGTAGTTTCGTCCTTCAGTTTCTGTTCTGGGTGGTGAACTTCAACTGTGGTCTATCACCAACTACCTTGTAGGCTTTCAACTTGATTTTGAAGGTAGATTACTTGCATTAGATAGTTAGTGATGTGAACCTACATCTCCTCCTCTTTGTGATCTTGTGTCTATTAGGCTGCCTCTCTCCACTTTCTTCTGATTGGAATGAAGTTGATCTGATTTTCAGTGTAGTGTGTCCATCTGGTGAGATTCATGTTGCTTCGTAAATATCCTTGTGTTTGAAAACACTACCGTCAATCACCAAATCAATAGATGCACAGAAGCCTGAATACAATTCTCCATTCTCATTCATTTTTCGGAGTGCCTCTTGACCCATGATTGGTTCTCTTCATGTGTTGTCCGCTCCAAGTTTGGCATTCATGTCACCCCACCCATTAGAATTTCGATTTCGACATCACCAACTGGTGTCTTGTCCGGTACTGATTGCAGCTGTCTATAGAATTCCTCCTTCTTCTCTTGCTCTGCATTATTTGTAGGTGCATTGCATTGTATGATTGTGACCTTCCTTCCTTTTGAGTTGAACCATGCTGTCATGATCCTGCAGGACGAGATTGGTTCCCACTGCATGAGAGCCTTCGATGCTGTTGGGGGACATCATGATAGCCACTCCATAACTCAGTGTGTTCGTGGTTGTCATCTGGGTGACAGCATCGGAGTAGATTACTGATTCTCCAGTTAAGAGTTTGGAGAGTCCACTCCCATTCCATCTGCTTCGCAAATCCCAAACACTTCAATGTGATACCTCTTCATCTCGTTTGCAATCTGGGCTGCCTTACTGGGTTCAAACATGGTGAGGACATTCCATGTCCCCACGTTTACTTTCGCTTTCATCGAGAGAAGAGTAGACATATCGGCCAATTGGCTTCCTGAAGGCAGGCTTTCACCAACTGGCGTCATTTCGCCTCTCCGATTCCAGCGAGGAATGATTTTGTTTTTATTTCTGATACTTTGTTTGTGCTTTGAAGTTTCTTTAGCGGTTTGATTGTTTTTACAGGGTAGGGTTGCTAGCTCTGTAACCAACCTTCCCTCTTTTTCCTGGCTTAGGATCGGCTTGTTACTAGTGAACTTGTTAACGAGGCGCGGAAAAAATGTAGAATTCAAATTCCTGATTACGTTTTATTCAATGGTAGTATTTACCAAAGACCAACATCAGCTGGAGAGCCATCGAATACCTGGGAGCAATGGACAATTGTTTCGTCATAGTCTGTGATTTCTCAGAAGTTCCTATCCATGATCCGGCCAGGAATCGTAACCACAACCTTCAGATATCTCATTAGCTATTCATCCATTTGGTCGGAATTCCGGGAAACTTTCATATCAAGTTACTGGCTAATACTTGTTTGTGATACGTATTGAGATAGATTTCTTAGGGTTCTAGTGAGGAGCCATGACCTATGGGATGAACTTATTCGGACGTGAGAACAAACACTTATCGCACCGTATCGCGAATTGACGAAAGTAAGAAAATGCAAGCTACTATATTCCAACCCAGTAACTACGAGATCTGACTATCTTGAGTTCAATCCTCGATGAGGTCGTGAGTAGACTATGATGTAGGGTCTTATGCTAGAAAAAAAAGCTTTTCAATGCCCTTAGACTTTCAACGGTTCTCCAGCTGATGTCAGTTAGTGATGAATACCATCTTGGAATTTCTACAAACCTCCCAATAGACTAACTGTATTATTATTAGTATCATCCATATTATACGTCTACTGTCTACTATCACCACGTGATATTTCTGATTGTAGTGGACTGGATCATGCAACAAACAGTGGGGAGCTGTGAGAAGAGGGGGATACGCTGGCTGGACTGTGGAAAAGAACCTAGAAGACTTGGATTTCGCCAACGACGATTTGTGTCTAGTGTCACACAAACTCGAAGATCTACAGGCGAAATCTAACAAGTTGACAGAAGAGGCAGGGCAGGCAGGGTAGGGCAGGGCAGCGAAGACCGAACTTCAAGTGAATGTAGAGAAGACAGACGTGATGAAGATACCCAAACAACCAACAACACCACCACCACCACCAACAACAACAACAAGCTCCAATCAACATCAATGGGAGAAACTTAAAGGAAGTAACCTCCTTCACCCACCTACCTAGGCAACACTGTTTCAACTACAGGTGGCACAGGCAAACACGAGGACCAGGACGAGGATGTCAAAGCTAGCCGGAATCGGAAAGACAGCAAGACGGGCGTTCATTAACCTGAATCCAGTGTAGAGATCTTCTACACTCAGTATGTGGAACAACATCCAGATTTCCAACACCAATTCAGTCAAGTAAGTCAGTGCTTCTGTATGGCTCAGAGACTTGGCGTGTTACGAAAGGCATTTCCAACAAACTACAGACATTCATCAACAGCTGCCACCTACACTGGCTCGTTACTGAAGATCATCAGATGAGATGGCCAGAAAGAATAAGCAAGGAGGAACTCTGGGAACGAAGCAACAAAGAAGCTATCGCTGAACAAATATGCACTGGAAGGAAGTGGAGAAGGATTGAATTGGCATACACTGAGAAGGCCGATTGGGGACATCACGTGTCAGGCTTGGCTAGGCCCTCGAGTGGAACCCCAATGGGAAGCGACGAGTTGGGCGTCTGAGGTGAGGGTGACATGGAGACGGTGTGAAGAGGGAATGAGAGGTTGTGGGCTGTCGTGGATCCAGGTTCAAAAGATTTCAGAGAACACAGTGCACTGGAGAGGTGCTACTGAAGCCCTATGTTATACTAGGAACCCAAGGGATAAATCATAATAATAATAATATGCGTATTATATGTAATGTTTTCTTGTCTAACTCCTTTTACAGAATCATTACTTAAATTTAACATCAGTGAATCATTCAACATTGAAAGACTACTCAAATTCCCTAATCAGTTCATTGAACAAGACAATTAGTAGTTTACATCAAATCAATCCTTCTAGTCTGTCGAATTCTACCTACTTAGATACAATACTACTAAGTTTAAATCAAGCAGAAAGTCATCAAACACTTACAAAATGGAGTTCATCATCAAAATCTCATAAACCATTGATACCAATACCATTATGTAAGTCATGAAGTATTTAATTAATTATGTATTTGTTTTGTTTTCCTAAATAAATTTTCATGATATTTAAAACGGGGATGAAATAGCATTGAACACGAATTGTTAACCGTAAGAAAACATCAGTTGGGTTCGATTGTACACTTTGAAAAAGTCCACAACTGTGACAAACTAGTTAGCTGTTCAGTGCTTCCAAGATTTCATTGATACTCCAACTGATATTGTGATCAGTGCTGAAAAACCTACTTTGAAATTCAATGAAGCTGAAATCTTTCATTTTGGCCTCTCTTATATTTCATGATGTCAATTAGTGATAAAGATAAAAATCATCTGTAAACTATTTGAAAAATTTTCAGAAAATAATCTATGTAATTATATTCAGGCTGATTCAACTCCTAACCTATTCGTTTATTTACAAAATATAAGTACAGCATCATCGCTGTTCGTTAGAAATTATCCATCTATGGAATCGTTTATGATGTTTGATTATGTGATCTGAAACACAGGTCTTATTACAAACATAATCATCAAGTTTTCTTGGCATGAGAGTTTCACCCGACTGACAACTACGATTTTGACGTGGTAGTCGGGATTGTACATCAAAATGACTCAACCAGATACACTGACTGGAACACTTTTTCCTCGAGGTACAACCATACCAGAAAGGTTTGTTAAGTAGTGGTAACACTAAAAGCAATCACTGTTATAGTGTAAATTGTTATAATATTATGGGGGTCCGAGGGCGAACGAAGTCTTACTACTGTCTGGATTGGTTGTCAGAGCAGTAAGGTGTTTCCCTTGGATGACCAGTAGTGGCCCACTGAAGCTGCCTTCGTAATGGGAAGAGGAGTTTAGAAAAGGTTGGGCACCGAAATAGTTTACTCCTCCCTACACGATGGTCATTCAGTGCCGGCGGTATGAGTTCTTTCTATCCGACGTAAGAACAGTCGACTTGTAAACAAACAATCCTCAAAAGACGGTGTTTGAAGAACTACAAGCAGATTTTTCATGAACTTTATGATTACACAAGTCTTTTCCTCTTTCAGGTACCCTGCATAAACATCTTCCATATTATGGGCAGCCTAGAAACGTTAAACACGCATACGCTTCCAGTAGTATGCAAGACTCAATCAAACATAACCTATCCTCCTTACCTCTATCCTTTCCAGTGCCTTCACCTAATACTAAAATTAGGCTTCTTACAACTTCCTCAACCTCTCACTCCGGAACTTTACCGAAAGATCGGAGCCACCGAATCCTCATTCTTAGTCTTATAAAACCCAGTGGTCGGTTTCATATTGTAGCTTTCAACTTTCCAACCCTATATCATATCAGACAGCAGGCTTCGCTAGCCAGAACTCTAGAATCTTGAGCCATAGATGTACGCTGTGCTTCTAAGACACATTTAGGATCCGAGTGCGGTTATTAAATTAACCTCAGTTGGTGATTACAGTGAATCTTGGAAATTCATCTTACGAGTATTCGGAGATTCATTGACCAGCTCTTGTGGAGTCGCCAGTGTAGGCATAGCACTGATTTGTAGAGCAGAAAGCCCACTCTTCGACTGGATGACAGTCAACAGCTGTCTGTGTATTCTTCGATTGAATGCATCTGTAAGGAAAAGCCATCGTGAAGTCAACTGATGCATGTTAGTAACCTCCACCTTCTCACCAACCAACTTTAGTTCAGGTGGTGCGAAGGATGAATTCTTTCAGAAGTTGTGATTTTGTTACAGAAAGAAAAAGGCTCAAACATAGCGGTAATGGTAGGTGATATTTACCCTCATGAAGGAAAGCTGAGCCAATCGGAAAGATATTTTAGGGGTATCTACGTGATCAAAAGCCAACGAACCAACAACGGCAATCATCTGTAGCAATTTTTTTCATCACAACCACTTATTTCTACCCAGAACTAGTTTCATAAGACAGACACTGTCTACAGTGTATACACTAACCACCTTGATAAAAGCGTATTCGTCAAATGTTAATCACACTCAAACTACTGTAGAAGTTCACTTTCTTGACTATAGGTTTTGGTGGGGAAGCTCAAAATGGTAAATTCTACTAAGATAAGAAATCTTGAGAAAAGCTTAGCTACTAAGTTACATTTTAATCATACAAAGCAACAAAAAACGATGAGAGTATGAAAGTCGTAAAAACTAACTTTGTACTGTGAAAGGATTGATAGTTGAGTCAAAAGGGAACACGTATCCTCTGGATATTTGGAAAATTCTACTACCTTTACAAAAAATGGAGAAGAAATAGAACCATTAATATATTATTATTACTATTAGTTCTTTGTCACGCGCCAGGGGCCTGGAGTGGAATTCAAAGGGGGGAACGACGAGTTGGGCGTTCGATGATGAAATGGAGGAGATGGTATGAGGAAGAAATGAAAGCTTCTGAACAGTCGTGGCGCCAGGTTGAAAAGACTGGAGTGAAGAGAATGAAATGGAGACGTGTTACTGAAGCTGTCTATTCCACCAAGAACCCAAAGGACAAATTATTAATATTTGTGACTTGAGTTCCTAGTGGAAAATACAGCTTCAGTAGCACGTCACCACTTCACTATCTTCTCTCCAGTCTTCTCAACCTGACTCCACGACTCCCCATAACTTTTCATTTCTTCCTCACACCATCTCCTCCATGTCACCCTCACCTCGAACGCCCAACTCGTTCTTTCCCATTTGGCTTCCACTCGAGGGCCTGATGCATGCTGTCCCTAAACCATCTTCTCAGTTTATTTCCAATACAATCCATCTCCAATTTCTTCTTCTGTATATTTGTTGGGTGATAGATTCTTGCTTCGTTGCCAGGTCAGAGTTCCTCCTTGCTTATTCCTTCTCACCTTCCTTTCTCATCTGATCTTCAGTATGGAGCGAGCGTGGGCGGCATCTCACATGTTTGTCTACAGTTTGTTTGAAATACTTTTCGTAACGTGCCAAGTCTACTAACCATCACCACATAGAAGCACTGACTTGACTGATATTAATGTTGAAAATCTGGATCTTGTTCCACATGCTGAGTGCAGTGTAGTACAGTGCTGTAGATCTCCACACCGACTTCAGACTAACAAAGGCCTGTCTTGCTGTTTTTCCGATCCTGGATTTCACACCCTCATCTGTGCCACCGCCGCCCCGCCGCCCTAAGTTGAGAAAATGCTACCAAGATAGCTAGGCGTAAGAGGCAATGTCCATTGGACTTCTCCCGTTCATGGCGATTGGTGCTTGTTGTTGTTGTGGTTGGTAGAGTATTTTCATCACCTGTGTCTCCTTCTTCTCTACCTTCACTTGAAGGATGTGCCGTCTTTGTTGCTCTACCTCTTCTGCTAACTTGTTCGTTTCCACCTGTACAGTTTTTTGTTTGTGCGACATAAGACATTAGGTATAAGTCGTCACGGGCGAAATCCAAATATGCTAGGGTCTTTTCAGCGGTCATACAGCGTATGCCTATCTTCTCACAGCTCCTCACAGTTTGTTGCATGATACAGCCCAGTAGACCACAATCAAGAAGATCATCGGTGATAGTAGGTGGCAACCTTGTTTACCTGTCAACCTGCTATCACTTCAAACGCATCACTGACTGAGTTTTCCATTGTGAATCACTTCTCATGTAGCATCATCATATAGCCGCTTTTGAATGTGGTTGACAAAGGTATGTGGTATTGAAACCGTAGTGTTGAAGTAGCCTCCTTTCTTTGAGAGGTTGACAAGTTAGGCCTTCTTCTAATCGGCAGGTACCTTTCCTTCCTTCCAAACTTTCTGCGGTAGTGGTGTCAGCATATCCGTTGCTGATGTCTCTGTGGCTGTTTTCAGTGCTTCTGGAGGAACTCCGTCTGGTTTTGCTGCCTTCATGGCTCTCAGCAATCTTATCGCGTGGCGTTCAGGACTTCATTTCTGCTTTTGTGGGAGGGTTTGTGTTCACTGATGGTTTTGTGATTGGGCTGCTGGTAGTATTTCTGGATAAGTTGTAGGTGGTGGTTGATTCAAGAGTTTTTTCGATGTTGTCAGTCCATCGTTTCTTTTGTTTCTCCTCTTCTGGACAATAAAATTGTATCTGAAACGTTATTAAGTACTTTTGGATAGTGTAAAATATCCAGCAGACAAACTACACTAAAACTGCACATTCCTATAGTGTCCATGTTTTTACACTATGTAATCAAATAAAGTTGACTCACTATGATGTAGATATTGTAGCAGTTTCTTAATTTATTTGAAATTTTAATTTTCTTCCTTGAGTCTCATGTTCAGAAATTCAAGAAACTTCAACGGATCAGGTAACTTCAAAAGAAAATACAACATTTAAGAATTACCAATTGAATGAAAATGGCTCAGAATATATTGAAGAGATGGTGGAACAAGATGTTAAAGAATGGTTGACACGCTTTCCAGAATTGAATTCACTTCTAATGAATAAAAATGAAGATAGGAAAGCAAAACATAATGAGGAAACGTAAGTGTATCCCGCTATATAACTTATCCAACATAGGGATTAGAATCATAGATTGTGTGGAACATTATAATAGGCTCAAAAACAACGGGTTAATATTTCTCAGGGGAAGAAATTTTTTGATCATTGATCATATTGTCACAGAAATTGACTCAATCGTCTGCTTATAGTCAACTGAGCCCTAAAGTCTTTCTATACTTATGGGAAAGTATTGTATTATGTTGATATCTTGAATTTCATGATAATACAGTCAGTTAACATCTGTAAATGGCATCACCACATGATGGTTCAAGTTACCGCACCTTACATTACCAAATCAGGGTAGAAAACACTGAGACGAAGATAGAGAAACAGGAAAAGAAAGTGTAACTCAAAAATGGTAGAAAGTTAGAGGAAGAGAGGAAAAAGAATACGAAGAAAATGATGTAGGATATGAAAGTAGATAATGTGTGTATGCAGCTGCACCGATAACAACGATTCTTAGCCGTAGAACATACAGACTTGAACCACCACTTCTGGTCCCCATGCCAACCTCAACCAGAAATTCTGTATTTCCCTACTTGGCTGAAACCGACAGTCGGAAACTACAAGGACTGATATCATTTTTTAGTCTGATCTGCTTCTAACCATTTTCTAGCATAAACGCATTTCAGATAATAATGTACAATTGGACAGACAGAAGCATATGTCCCAACCACTTCAGTCAACTAAGTTACATAACCTTGTCAACTGACTTCACTATTTTTCCTAAAACTGTATTCCTGACTTCTGCTTTAATCAGATGGTGACACTACAACACACGATGCACGCTAAGAAGGCGATACTGATTGAACAAGTGAAGTCTATACATGTCCTGTACCTTTAATGGCCATGTTTCACAGCCATATAAAGCACAGGGCAGCGTAATAAACTTTATCGTTAATCAACAGTCAGATGTCGCAACAGTACCATAAATGGCGTGTGTTAACGGAGGTCAATTGGGCCTTTTGCATCCATGTAGAGAATTCGTTGGTCACTAGACCCATCAGAGCTGATCGGATTTCTTAGATAAATGATGTGATGAACGGACACAATCACTCCATTCCGTATTGTTAGACCGGGCACCAACGCGGACCAATCGTTGGGCAACAGTGTGCATCTGGATGGTAAGAAACATTAAAAACATTCTCAAACTACCAGTCAAGGCGAACTGTAGGTCTACCAGGGAGTCACTTGTAACAAGATCAATTTCTGCCAAGTCAGACAAGAACAGACAGATATTTATAACTGCATCTGTGATAAGATTACATAAGAATGAATGATGTGAGGCGATATTCGCAACGTTACGACCTTCACTGATCAAAATGAGCAGGTTTCGCTTTACAAGCATGTGCACTGTTCGAGGCAGAAGTTGTTTGGATGGTATTTACTTCTTGTCGACTTTGCGTCAACAATTATGGATGAAGTTCCACTTCTATAGTTTCAACTTGTGCTCAGGATGGTAGGCACAAGTCTTACTCAAGTATTCTCTGTTGGACAGATACAAATCTTAATCTACTGAGCTGGTTGAGAGAAAAATATTTCATACACATACACTTATCAACAAGAAAAATTCCCATATCAACCCTTGGTCAATTCGCTGGGATTCATTTCTGAGAAAAAATCCAAAATAGGGTGAACATATATACAGGGCTCCTGGGCTTTATATAGTTCTTCAGCTGATGCAAGTTCATGATGAATACTACCTTGAAGTCAATCGATCAATCTTCGAGAATCAACAAAGCGAATTCCTATATACCTTAATTTCAGTGCATGAGATGAGAATCACCTTCAAATATATCACCGATAGAATTTCAGTCATATTATAACTGTAGTGATTTTGGATTACTGCGTATTTTTATTTTGGCTATTCTAACAAAAATAAATTGATAAATTGGGAAATGATTAGTTCTAAGGTTAGTTTTCATCTCGAACAGACATTAGAGGGTGAAAGATTGAAAAGATTAGAAACGTGGAACAGCAGTTTTGTATTAGTTTGGGAGCACTTTAGAATGTGCAATCACAACAGAGTGGGCGACCGAGCGCACTACTATCAGGTCTCTTAATAACCACATTGTCTTCAACCAATGGGCTAGAATATAATGACTTACTTCATTCTGCTTTAATGAATTGCCGGTTAGTTACAATTGTCATACAATGTCATCAATTGGCATCCGTTCCCCCCCCCCCTGACTTATTTGACTCCGCAGGTCAAGAATTCTCACTAAAACTTTGCAAAAAACTCACCTCTCAGGTTACTAATAGTTCTTCAAATGATGTCAGCTAGTGACTATAACCACCTTGAAACAAAACAATCTTCATCAACATTCATTTGAATAGTTAATTTATACAATTATCAATTGTAGATAGAGTTTTAACACAATACCTGTTGTACATTTTTAACAGTCTATTTGTCCTAATATTTTAGCTACACTGAATTAAACAATCCACTTCTACATCTAAATAATGCACCGATTGAAGAGTCGAAAAAGTATGCAGACGAAATTTTATCAGCATGTAAATTTAAATTTTAAAAATAACCGCCACAACAGAGTTTTGTATTGATATAAAGAAATCATTTGTTCAGTGTTGAAGGTGACTTCATATATTGCATATTTAGCATCTTTGTTCTGTTATTTGTGAAAAGATTGTTTTATTATTTGACTGTTATATACATATAACATTGAACAACTGTTTTTTCTAGGATCCTTTGTTTTACTGCATCCTGTTTTTATAATGTGAAAGATTTGATCGTTTGCTGCACAGATATTCATCATGTGATGTTATTCAAGGAAATAAGATAATACTTTATTTTCTTTATAAACAATACCTTCCAAGAAGTTTTGTTTTCAGTAAAATCTTTCTCTTTTGTAAACATTTCATAATAGTGATAACATGGAATTTTGAATAGATTCCTACCTATCTTTCACTCTAGCGTATTGGAGTGATAATGGTAGGATACATAGTCATGAAGGAATGTAAATCACAATATATTCCTGGAATTAATAATTTGCTGAATGTAAAGTCTAGTGTATTTCAATTTCAAAAGAAAGATCCGTGGTTGCCAGATTCTGAAATTGTGTATGTTGAAGATAATCATGAGATTTGTAAGCCTAGTTTTACCAGCTAGTAGAAACATGTTACTTACTATACTATTATTATTATTATTATTATTATTATTATTATTATTATTATTATTATTAGACCCTTGGGTTCCTAGTGGAACATAGGGCTTCAGTAGCACGCCTCCAGTGACCTCTGTTCTCTGAGATCTTTTGAACCTGGTCCCACGACAGCCCACAACCTCTCATTTCCTCCTCGCACGACCTCCTTCATGTCACCCTCGGACGTCCAACTCGTCGCTTCCCATGGGGATTCCACTCGAGCAACTGGCCTGACGCGTGATGTTCCCAGTCGGCCTTCTCAGTGCATGGCCAATCCATCTCCACTTCTTCCTGCATATTTGTTGTGTGATAGGTTGTTGGTTGGTTCGTTGCCAGTTCACCGAGTACCTCTCGACCCATGATGAGTTCTCTTCCTGTGTTGTCCGCTCCTAGTTTGGCATTCATGTCACCCCACCCATTAGAATTTTCATGCAGCCATCTGCAGTCTTGTCCAGTACTGATTGCAGCTGTCTATAGAATTCCTCCTTCTTCTCTTGCTCTGCATTATTTGTAGGTGCATAACATTGTATGATTGTGACCTTCCTTCCTTTTGAGTTGAATCTTGCTGTCATGATCCTGATCGTGGAGGAGATTGGTTCCCACTGCATGAGAGCCTTCGATGCTCTTGCAGGGGATATCATGATAGCCACTCCATAACTCAGTGTGCTCGTGGTTGGCGTCTGGGTGACCGGAGTAGATTATTGATTCTCCAGTTGACAGTTTGGAGAGTCCACTCTCCCATTCCATCTGCTTTCGCAAATCCCAAGCACTTCGATGTGATACATTCTCATCTCCTTTGCAATCTGGGCTGCCTTGCTGGGTTCAAACATCGTGAGGACATTCCATGTCCCCACGTTTACTTTCGCTTTCATCGAGAGAAGACACATCGGCCAATTGGCTTCCTGAAGGCAGGCTTTCACCAACTGGCGTCATTTCGCCTCTCCGATTCCAGCGAGGAATAAGTTTGTTTTCATTTTTATATTTTGTTTGTGCTGTGAAGTTTCTTTAGCGGTTAGATTTGTTTTACGGGGTAGGGTTGCTAGCCCTATGCCCAACCTTCCCTCTTTACCCGGGCTTAGGACCGGCTAGTAACTAGTAAACTAGTTAACCAGGAGAGGTTACTTACTATACTATAGAGAAGCATTTCTCCTCTCATTATTACACCGAGTTCATCTGAATGCTTTATTTCTGTAGTCAATGTCTTAATGCTGTACTATCAAGAAGAGCGACCACAACAGAAAACATGACAGTCTGAAGGGATAAAACTGATAGTAAATCTTTAGAAATAGATAAAACATGACCAAACAATGAATTTTTCAATGTTTACTCTTCATGGTATAAACAAGTCGACCAGTTTTTTCGTCCAATCCATTCTTATAACGTTTAGGGTACTAGAAAACACTTAGAGTTTTAGTAATGATGAATATTGGCTAGCAGTGGAATCTAGGACATGTGTTTCGTCCAGTTTGACAATCGTCATCTGAATGCACCTCTATCCAGTGAGTTCTACTGCTCTTACTAAGACTCGAACCCAGAACCGATCGCTTTAAACGCCAGAAAGTTATTCACTAGGCCACTGAGTCATATTAACCACTCTTTGTGCAAAGCGTATAGTTTTGATGTTATTGCTTGTCACTGCCCGTCGTTAATTGAACCGAACTGATAGAGTTCGATTGGCATATATTCACAATGCTGAATGTATCGATTTACCTGTAGTCTCATTTTGGTAGTCATGATGAATAGCAACTTGAATTGATATACTTCATTGTCTGATTCTCCACTGACTTGTCTATCTGTCTTCTTACAGATTCAGATATAGACACTCACCGAACCTTTGGAGGTAATTTATACTCTGATGAACAAACAAACTTTTCCTAGCCAACTGACGGAGGTAAACTCTAGCATCCTGTACGTTGTCATAGGTTTAAAGAAATCTACTCATATGCCGGAGGATCAATAGGCGAACTGAGCACCATTACAATGTTATAGACGATAGCGATATATAAAAAGTAATGTCTACATTGAAGTGACTTTCACATCAGACCATAATTTCAAGTTTTATGGCATATAATGAATGTACGTAAGAATCTACCTCGGAAACACTTTTTAGAAACTATTGTTTAGTGCAGAACCAACCCTATTAAAACAAAACTTCGATGCTGCTGCATCTCTAGACATGAAATGCACCTTTTCAGTTGACAGACAGATAAATTATGTGTACTAGTTAACCATAGTCTTGAATTAACTAACTTTCTAAGCTGAGGAATACATCAGTGGTGGGACTTTCCAATCTCTAGTTTAACCTACCTGTTGCATGAGATTCTCCGGAAGGCATAAGTGTTGAAGGTGACAAGTTTGGATGACATTTAAAAGCTTTAAGAATATCATTGATATCTAATGAAAAAGAAAAATTGTATTAAAGTATCAAATCAGAGATGCTAAAAGATTCAGGCACTCCTTAACTTGGCAGTGGGTCACCAATAGAAGTAAGAAGTAAAGATTAAAATGAAAAATAATAGCGAGAAAAACCAAATGAAAGTGAATCGATAAGATAATTGATTCAACAGTCAACTTTATAATTTCCTTGGTGATAGCTAACAGTGGAATCCAAAAGGTGTGCTTCATCCCATTTGAGACTCATCAGCTAGATACATCCACGTCCTAGTGAGTGAGGCTAAAACCTAACACCAATCGCTTCAAATGACAGAGCACTATCCACTAAGCTACTGATGCACGAGATCCTTCTGTTGCGTAACGGGTATAGGTTGTTTTTTATTGAAGCTATGGGCGCTAAGTTCAAGCTTCAGTAGAAACACCTTTAGTCACTGGAATGAAGATATCTTCGAGCTTAAAAATGAGGCCGAAGTAGAAAGAAACACTCGTTCTGGATTCAGCTGTTAACAAATTCTTACATTATATCAAGAAATCTAGATAGGAGCTCATATGCTAACAGACATTGATAAATTTGATTCAGGAAACTACATTTTTCAGTAAAAAGTAAATTTTAGTAAACATGGAAAGATTAAATGAACGGCTGACAATCTTATATGTTTTAATTTGGTTTATAGTAAAAGCGTTACACCTTTATTAAGAGTACTCACCCTTCCCATTACTCCAGTTCATGACTTCATAAACACAAATTTTTTCTGGTTAAAAATGTAAAAGGTGCGCTAGAATGGACACATAACAATCCATTTGTGCTTTCAATAGCAAACAAACAGACATTCTGCATAGCTAGTGATTCTCATAAACAGATATACTAACGATAACATATAACGTACTCAAACTACTTAAAAGTTATAAATACCCAGCAGTTATTGTTTGATACTTGTTGCTATACTGGGACAAACTGCATCACTTCAGTCGGCAGATAGGCATTTATGCGGATATCACAATACAGCCTCGTTTCTCATTGCGTTGTATTCTGCTTGGTGGCTAGCAGTGGAATCTAGGACGCAGGTTTTATCCTTCACCCGAGTGAATGGTATAGTCCTCACAGGAACTCGAACCTCGTACCCATGACTTCAAATGCAAAGGCGTTACCCTCTAGGCCAATGGGGCACGACGGCCACCTCTTGTACAACATGTATCAGATATTCTTTCATACCCCTTTCAAAAAGGGGCAACTATTACGCGCCAGTGGCTTAGCGGTAACCACTTGACGTTCGAAGTACTGGGTACTGTTTCCAAGTCTGCGCACGGACAATACTCATTAGGGTGCAGATACATTCAGCTAGTTAATAAGTCTCAAATAGGATAAAGCACGCATCCTATATTCCACTGCTAACAACCAAGCAGAGTACAACCCAGCATAATCCAGTGCAATAAGTAAGACTTGTGAATTTATCGTCTGGAAAAAAAAAAATTTGAAACTTCATATATAAGTTAGTAGAGAATAAACAAGAATTTAAGCATATATATACTTCAGTGCTTGTTACTTATTCATATTCCTTCAATTTCATACATGTTGCACTGCAATAAGTTCACTCAGAAGAGTTACAATATATACTAAATAAAAATTCAATTAAATTCAATCATTTTTTTTTCACTCTATGTCAACTATTGAGGAAAGATTAAGCTCATTTTCAACTTATTTATTGCTAATAGCCTTGTTATAATAAAATGTTTTGAAGATGAAATTTTTTTTCGTCGAATATATAATTGTAGTGGATAACTGATTGGTTTTAAATGTACCAAATAGTTAACGGTTCAATGTTCAATATATAATATATTACTAATATTCAAGATTACTACTTATGAATTCAAAGGTGGCATATATGTAATCGATATAAACAGAATGCACCATTCTTATGATCATATTAGCTGTCGATTGGATAAATCTTCTCATATATTGTTTAAAATGCACCTTGTAGTGTTTTTACTAATCAGTTTTCTTCCTATAAATACGTGTCAACATGAATAAATAAAACATTTCTTCAAAATGATGAAATTCTTTCATTTTCCATTATGTGCTACGCTATTCAGTTTAATAATTTGTAACTTATTACTTATAAGTAGTTGGAAAATATCACAGAAACGTGCCAATTCCTTTTTAACGCTAGTTTTTGTACACGGTGGTGATGATGCACGTCTGAGTCATTATGATGCTGTAGACTTTTGTCGACAACTTCCTACAAATCTTAACCTGCTGAATGAAACCTACGTGAAAAGTGTTGTGAATAATAATGTCACCTTGAAGGATTATCTGAATAATAGTTCTAAAGACTATATTACTACCAGTACAATAACCAATAATGATACAACCACTACTACTAATACTATTACTGTCAATAGTGGTAATAAAAACACTAGTAATGGACTAAATCCTGTTGAATACATTGTACATGGTGAGTTACTGTCGCTTCATAGTCCAGCAATGATACATGTTTTAATGAGTTGGATACTGTCTATTGAAGCAAGACAATTTTGGATTGGTGGATTAGTGAAACTAATTCAACATGAATTCAATGGTCAAGATAGACACTTAATTCAGACATGGACAGATCATACACCAGTTACTATACGCTTTCTTCATTATTATAATCCATTGATATTAAAACTATATCCAAATGAAATTGCTTGTCTATCTGTTGATTATGCTAGCGGTAAATGGGGTGTACATTATTGTAATGAAAGAAAATATTTTGTATGTGAACTTGTGAGAATACCGAAGATATTACGTGAAGTAGTGAATAATGTAACAGTGTCAAAAATGGAACATCATTTACAGTCTTTAAATATGTCTGATAACAATCAGTATAAAACTCATCAGAACAATACACATGAAAATGTAACAACAATTGATAATTTGCATCAACTCACTAATCATTCTATAAAGACAAATGATACTTATCATAGAGAAGAAGGAAGTAATTATACCACTTTAACAACAATGACTACTCCATATACACAAACAACGTCAATGAATTTCAATTTGACAACAATTAACACAACAGTAACAATGACAAATACTACTGAAATATCTAAAAAATGAACTAAGTAGTGTAATCTAATAAGTGTGTATTGTATTAAATAAAAGGTTTTTTTCCACTAATACTATTATTATTATTATTATTATTATTAGTCCCTTGGGTTCCTAGTGGAACATAGGGCTTCAGTAGCACGTCTCCAGTGACCTCTGTTCTCTGAGATCTTTTGAACCTGGTCCCACGACAGCCCAGAAGCTCTCATTTCCTACCCGCACGATCTCCTCCATGTCACCCTCACCTCGGACGCCCAACTCGTCGCTTCCCATGGGGATTACACTAGATGGCCTGACGCGTGATGTTCCCAGTCGGTCTTCTCAGTGTATGCCCAATACATCTCCACTTTCTTCTACTGCATATTTGTTGCGTGATAGGTTCTTGGTTGGTTAGTTCCCAGAGCTACTTGTTGCTCATTGTCTCGGGCCATCTGATCTTCGGTAGCGAGCGTAAGCAGTTGTTGATGAATGTCTGTAGTTTATTGGAAATCCCTTTCGTGACGCGCCAAGTCTCTGAACCATACAGAAGCACTGACTTGACGTTGGTGTTGAAAATCCGTATCTTGTTCCGCATGCTGAGTGCAGAAGATCTCCACACTGGATTCAGGTTAATGAACGCCTGTCTTGCTTTTCCGATTCTGACTTTGACGTCCTCGTCCGTCCCGACTGTAGTTGAAACAGTGTTGCCTAGGTAAGTGGGTGAAGGAGGTTACTTCCTTCAAGTTTCTCCCATTGATGGTGATTGGAGCTTCTTGTTGTTGTTGGTGGTGGTGCGGTATCTTCATCACCTCTGTCTTCTCTATATTCACCTGAAGTCCCATCTTCGCTGCCCTACCCTGCCTGCCCTGCCTCTTCTGTCAACTTGTTAGATTTCGCCTGTAGATCTTCAAGTTTATGTGACATCAGGCACAAGTCATCGGCGGCGAAATCCAAGTATTCTAGGTTCTTTTCTGTGGTGCAGCGTATCCTTCTTTTCTCGCTCCCCACTCTTTGTTGCATGATCCAGTCGACCACAATCAGGAAGATCATGGGGGATAGTAGACAACCTTGTTTCACTCCTGTCTTCACTTCACTTCAAAAGCATCACTAAGCTTCCCATTGTGAATTACTTGGCATGTGGCATCTTCATATAGTTGTTGAATGAGGCTGATAAAGGTTTGCGGTACTCCGTAGTAGTGAAGGTTCTAATACTACTGGTATTCTTTTATTCCTATTGGCTGTTTCAATGTTGCATGTGGTTCCCAGTTTATTCTTGTTCTGAAGTGAACTGAACTGATGACTGAGATGAGTACAATTTTGAATCAAAGGCAAAGATATGATGATTATGTATCCAGTAAGTGAATACATTGTCTAGCTCCTAGTTCACTTTCTGTCAATACCTTTTGCATTGTTTCTTTATTACGGATACGCATGAGATGTCTGTAGCGATAAAATTGAAGTGAGAGGAGAAATAAGTAAGATGAGTTAGCCAGTAAATCATTATTCAGGGTATAATACGTTAAGAAGTGATCATCGTCTCCCGGTCAGTCTCTCTTAGTAGTAGAGCCATTTTACCATCTTAGCTCCTACCCTTTAGATCTATTGGAATTATCTCAGCTTTACATTCGTTACTCAGGCTCACTGTTCATATTCCATACTCCAGACAAGTTCTTATATGTTTTAACTAAAGCTCTAATAGACCCTTCGTAAGAACTGTAAAATCAGAATCCTTTTAGCAGCTGCTACTTTGCAACTAACTGATGTCGTATGATCAAGACTAAAACACCTAAACCCTCTTATTCAATCATTTTTGGCAGCAGCATGTCATTCATCACGTAATCATGTGGATCATCATGACTCACCTGCATGACTAATCCCTTAACGGTGTTTATTTTCTAATAAACATCTCGTAGGCAAATTCCCTAGACCATGTAAGTCGAGTTATCCTCATTACTGTGAAAAACTCTTCAGAGTTCCTAACCGTCAGAAAACATAGGAATGCAGAACGTAGTCATCCTTGGAAACTCATTCACATATAATTGGGAGAGAAGTGCAACTAAGAGAATGCTACCACGAGTATACCTATACTGGTGTTCACGAGCACAAAAACTAGTCCATTCTTACACTCAGCCTTCTATCAAAGTATTCAGTTCAGTTTCTAACTACACAATTCATTCAGGAACTTTCCAGTTTCTCCTTGGTAGATTAGATATCTTCTTACATCTGCATCCACCTAAGGTCAGTCAAAGTGCCCGTATCGTGATGTCTTCTAGCCTGTTAACCCCATTACAAAATCATGGGAAAAATTTGGTCAACACTTAGGAGCATACAACATGAAACTCGTTGCTTCTCAGTGACCAGTCAGTTTATCTAGTCCGAAAGCATCCGTAAAGGTGACCAATGGTGGCGCGAATAGCTCAGTGATAAAGTGATTAACAGGAAAACTGGATGACGCTGGTTGTATTGACAGAGTGCGCATATTTTCCAAATAGCTGGAAGATTCACATTGCTTACGAGGGACAAGATACATAAAAACTAGGAAATAGGCTTGCTACCGATTTCCTCCAACCAAGTAACTAACATCCATCAAGCTGCCCAGCTACTGTAGTGGGCGTTGCTCATAAAAATGGATATATGTAGCATGTGTTGAGAGGGTGGCAGAAATCATAGGGAATTACCAACAATGGATAAGGATTCTGCTAAGAGAAACGTACAGCACAACGCAGGCATATGAAGAGCAAATCAAGAGAAGAAGCAGGTCTTCCTGTTTTTCTCAATATAATAAGCTTCGTAGCTCGGTGGGCATACTGTTAAATCGAAGATAGAATTCGGTCAGCACTTAGGAGTCGAATATAAGAAATTAGTCAAGCCTCAGTGACCAGTTAATTCTCTAAATCTTCAGTTGTAACACTAATGTCTCTGTTGATGAGATTTACCAAACATAGTTGACGCCTCCAAAGCTAAAGGCCTATTAAAGTTTACGTGAAGCACAACAGATAATCCTATTCTTAAGTCCCTAATACAAACTGAGCGATTATTATTCCTTTGGGTTCCTGATGGAACATAGGGCTACAGTAGCACACCTCGAGTCCACTGTCTTCTCTACAGTCTTTTCCCACCGCGTCACGACTGGCCAAAACCTTTCATTTCTTCCTCATATGATTTTCTCCATGTCACCCTCGCCTCGGACGCCCAACTCGTCGTTTCCCCTTCGGACTCCACTCGAGTGCCTCACACGTGATATCCCCGAATGGTCTAATCAGGGCATCCCAATCCGTCTTCATTTCCTCTTCTGAATATTTGTTAGGCGACAGGTTCTTGCTTCGTTCCCAGAGTTCCTTGTTTCTTATTCCTTCTGGCCATCTGATCTTCAATAATAACAGCATCAAGAAGAAGAGGCACCTATCACCACGTGCGGGAGAAACTTAAACGAAGTAGTCTCTTTGACCTACTCATCTACCTAGGCACCATCGTTTCAATTACAGACAGCACAGGCACAGACGAGGATGTCGAAACCAGGATTGGAAAGACAGCAAGACAGGCTTTCACTGATGTGAAATCAGTGTGGAGATCTACTGCACTACACTGTACTCAGCATAAAGCATGAATAACAACCTAATTTTCATCACCAATTCAGTCAAGTAAGTCAGTGCTTCTATGTGATTATTCTGTGACTTGGCATATCACGAAAAGCATTTCCAACAAACTACAGACATTCATCAACAGCTGCCATCTACACTGGCTCGATACTGAAGATCAGATAAGAAGGCGAGAAAGAAAAAGCAAGGAGGAACTGTGGTGTGGTGTGGCGACGAACCAACCAAAAACCCATCACCTAACAAATATGTACTGGAATAAAGTGGAGATGGATTGAATTGGCATACACTGAGAAGACCGACTGGGGACATCATCACGTGTCAGGTTTGGCCAGTCCCTCGAGTGGAATTGAAAGGGGAGACGACGAGTTGGGTGTCCGAGGCGAGTATGACATGGAGGAGATGATGTGAGGAATAAATGGAAAGTTGTTGGCAGTGGTGGTACCAGGTGGAAAAGATTGCAGAGAAGAGAATGGAATGGAGGTGTGCTACTGAATCCCTATGTTCCACTAGGAACCCAAGGGAAAAATAATAATAGTAATAATAACCGTATGTTATTCTTCGTATTGTGTATCAATAGCAGTGCAAGCATGTGACCATACTGTGAATGACATCTGATTCGCTTTTACTACGTGATGACGCCTCATTCTTTTTGGTACCTTTCAGTTCCTATAAACAACTACATTGTTTAGAGTTTTCTGGAAACTAAAATATCAAGCATACTTTACATGTTTGTAAACATTAGTTCTTTGTTTCACTCTATCTTAAAATTCACTCTTGAATCTATTTATAATTTTCTCATGAACACTTTATGCGTAATTGTTTTATGAATTTTGTTGTTATTCGGCATTCATTTTTAATTAAATTTTTGAGGGGGTTGTGGAGATTTGGAAATATTTCAAGTTGTTACTCATCGAAGACTGACATCAGTTGGAGGAACAAAGGAAACCTGGGAGCACTGGACAGCTGTTTCGTCCTAGTATGGGACTCCTCAGCAGTGCGCACCCACCACCCCACCAGCAGGGGTCGAACCCGCGACCTTCAGGTTCCGCGGTCAGCGCGTTACCATTGACTAGCTTCGAGAAGTATTCCCGAAGTTCCAGTGACAAGTCGTGACCGGTGGAGTCAAAGCCTGATGGCCGTGAGGACAGATACTCAAAGATGACATTGGGTGGCGGTTCGCGCTATATCGTCAGCTAACAGAAGTTGGAAATGTGGAGCATTGGGTTCTGACACAGTGGCTCAATGGTAACGCGCTGGCCGCGGAACCTGAAGGTCGCGGGTTCGACCCCTGCTGGTGGGGTGGTGGGTGCGCACTGCTGACGAGTCCCATACTAGGACGAAACAGCTGTCCAGTGCTCCCAGGTTTCCTTTGTTCCTCCAACTGATGTCAGTCTTCGATGAATAACAACTTGAAATCATTTTTAATTTCATTCATTGAGCAATGAATGAATGAGCTAATGATTCTACGTCACTGCCCGAGTTGTATTACATG